CAGGGAGGAGCTCAGTGCAGCAGACTGCTCCCAGAGAAGTCCTGAGAGTGGGATGTCCTTTATGGAGCAAATGGCCAAACCACTCGTGAATGCACATCCTTCATCAGCCAGACATCTCACACCTGTAGCCATTAAAGTAAGTCATACACATGACTAGTAGTGTCTGAAAATGGAGGGTGCTGGATGAGGCTGATCAGGTTTTAATTTCCATGGAGATGAGCAGCTGACTGAGGCCAGGTGAAGTGAGAAGTGATGCTCATCTCCCTCAGTGTCTTTTCTCAGTGTTTTTGTTCCAGCCAGCTGCAATCCAGACTTGCAGTAGCTCCAGCTCTTTCCAGCCTGGAGAGCTTGAGGACCCATAACTGCCTATGGCACCATTTGATGTGGCATGTGGATGCCACAAATGCTTACAAGGGCACAGTTTACACTAAAAGAACGAATATTAAATTTGGTTTCACCTTCCAGACAAGGAAACCCCTTCTCTGCTTACATGAAGAAATCTGGAACAGATAAGTTCTTTCCAGCAAAGTTTATTTAAAGAAATCTTACGTTTGAGCTGCTCCAAATACTAGTCAGTACTGCATAGCAGGGAACAAGTGGGAGTGTGAAAGCAGTGGAAAATGGCATAGGGTGAGACTATAGCACAGATATATTCCATTTGACAGTTACAAAATGTTTCTTTACAACTTAATCCATGGCAAGATCTGAGTTCTGATGACTAGCTGGGGAAACTCCCAGTCCAACAGGCTGGGTTCTAGCTATTTGGAGTGTATTGCTTGAATTGATTGACGTGGAGTGTCTAGGGAGTTGATCTTGCCACTGTTGGTTCTTATGCAGGTCCTGCACCCTGGGCTGGTCCACCAAGTCCAGATGGATCTTTTTCTCATGAAGCTGGGTAGCTACATCATTGGACTTCTGCCTGGATTCAAGTGGCTCAGTTTGACAGAGATTGTGGAGGAGTTTGAGAAGCTTATGATTCAGCAGGTGGGTGCAGTGCCGTGGTCCCCACGTACTGAAACAAAACTGCCTTTGATCTTGTTACTGGCTGGCTCCGACTCTGTTCATACTGCCCTGTTTTCAAGGATTAGGTGAAGACCTGCTTGTTCTTTGGTTATATTCTTTATTCTAATCAGTCACATAATGTTACTGTAGGAAAGCTTATGTGCTCACAGAGTAAAACAAAGCAGTGAAAAAAATTAACAGTCTTTATCAGATTTAAAAATATTTTTTTAGACTTTTGAGTATGTTTTCTAGTGAACAGCCTGAACAGGCAGCTAGCCATGGTCACAGGCCTTTTTGCAGCTTTCTGAAACATGAACGCTGGTAAAGTCCTCTCCTTAGGAAAAGAATTTCTCAGATGTGTTTTTTCTCTTTAATCCCACACAGATGTTTGCAGTTTGTACTCACTGGTCATGTTTGTTAGCACTGAGATGTGTATTGGCATAACTAATATGCTTTCTCATAGGTTAATAACACATTCTATATTGTGTTGTCATCAGACTCATAATATTGATAACGTTAAGCTTTGCAAATAGATTTGAAAGGGATTCACTAATGTCTTCTAAAGACAGTCTTGACACATCCTTACTACCAAACTTACAAAGATTTCACTACAGGCTCAATTAGGGTGATGTTTCTGTTAAAATGAACAATTATCTGCTAATTCCATTTTTATGTCTAGATTGCAATCTAAAGTCTGTACAAGCTTTTGAAAGTCTTCATTCTTTTCCCCTGTTGTAAAAAGATCTACACAGTAAATACATGCTGTATAAACTGTGGACTGTGTTCAGATGTGATTCAAGTCACTAGTACCAGTTTACTCTAGCAAAACTTCTGGTGGATGTACTGAAGGCTGAGGATTAGGAGAGCATCTGATACACTTGTAACTTCTTTTCCTTTAAAAGGCTAAGAAGTGTTCCTCAGATATTTCCCTTTGCCAGATGAGGGGGGTGAGGCAAGATTATCCTACCTCCTTGAGCAGCAGGAGTGGGCAGGAGAGATGCCTTGTGTCAAGATCACAGAAGAGCTAGGCCAGGACTCTTCGCACAGTGGATTATTTTGTACATGTTACATTAAATTCTTCCGGCTGTGGCTGCCTATCTGTAAAGCGAAATTAGGGCTGCAGTTCTTCTGCCTTGTCTGTTTGCCTTGCAAGCTGGACAGTGAGCTTTGATTCAGGATCTGTCTTACTGTTGAAAATAATACAGTCCTTCTCTTTTCTGAGACATCAGGCCTGTATAAATCATCCATACTTTAAAGGTGCTGGGTTGTGTCTGTCCATTACCCAGTCTTTTACTCCAACTCTTCCATCAGGAAAGCTGGAAGTATGTAAGAAGCACCACCCTATTTTGTTTTCATTCCAGCTTTCTGACTACTTTTGTTGGTATTGAATATTGCACCATACAATCATATCATCATACAGAGTTCTGAAGATCTAATTCTAATTGGATATAATTTCCAGCCTGCTTTTTCTTTTTCTCCCTTGAGATTGACTTACGCTATGAAGCCAGAAATCTGGAGCGCTTCCGACAAAATTTCCTAGATGTCGATTTTGTGAAGTTTCCAACTCCCCTTTGGCCTTTGGTCACAGCAGATGTTCTAGTGGAAACATTTGAGGTAAGAGTCCCAGGGTCTGGGAGTGGTGGTGGCAGGGATAAGGCCCTTAAGGGATAACATGCCAGGGAGGTGTTTTTTGAGACGTAGCCATCGGAGGCAGAAGGATGCTTTTCTCTTACTTGCTTAAAGAAATTGGTGTCCTTCCTCAGTGTCCTTTCCATGCTGTTTGTGAGCAGTTTATCCTGGAAGGCAGGTGGCAGAGAACTCCATATAGAAGCAAACACTTGGCCTGAAACCAAGCAGACCAGCAGTGTGTCCAGCCACCATGTGCTTGCCTGTGCTTTGCAAACCAACACCATGCTTCAGCTCTCCTCTGTGATGGGTCAAAGCAAGGAGCTCAGCAATCTGAAGCTTTTTGATGCTTACCTCGCTTTCCTTGTGCATGTTTGACTTAAACCAAAGCCATTCTCAGCCTTATTTTTCCTGCATGTGATTCTTGCAAGAGTATTTCTGCCCCAGGCGGTATCATACCTTCTTTCCAAAGAGCAAACCTGTGTTCTCTATCACATTCAGTACAGCCTCTGTTGAGCAGGTCCTTTCTAGGCCCTCCCCTAAGTATGGGCACCTAGGTAAAGGTGTGCTTGAAGATGGCATGCAGGGTGTGTTTGACTCCAGCTCTTGTCTTTATTTCAGGAGAGTGAGCCTATTTCACACTACCTCCACGCGGAGATTGCCACAGAGCTGAGACAGAGACTTGCAAAGATGGGCATGGACATGCTGCTAAAGATGGTAGGCACTTGGCTGAGGCTAGAAGTGAAGGTTGTTTTCCTGCAGAAGCTATTCAGTTGGGGTAATGAGACAACAGGGTGAAAAGAGAACCTGTTCTCACATCTCTTACCCATCTGCCCATGGGCTCAGACCAGAGCTGTGCCTTTTAGAGCCAGCCTGTGGATGGCAGGTATCTTGCAGTAACTCAGGACTTGGGCCACTTGCAGCTCCTGAACTGGCAGAGGGAAGCTCTATACCTCATGTGGAATGTCAATGCAAGGGCTGAGTAGAGCATGGGCAAAGTACACCACTACTGTAGTAGTGCAATAGACTCCAAAATTGCTTTTATGTGTAGTAAAAGCTGTGGTGGAACTAGAATAGTTTTAGGCTAACATTAGATTCAACGGTTAGGAGCAAAACAACACCTCCCCCAGTTTTAGGCGTAGAAAAGAATTAAAGAGCAAAGAAACAACATTATGGTTGTAAGTAAAACAAACACCTGTTTCTTGAATACTCAGTTCTAGCCTGTCCAGGACCCTCCATTTCAAGGGCTGTAATAGGACTAGAAGAAGAACAGAGGAAGGTTGGTGTGGAATGACTTCCATACTGAGCTAGTGAAATTATTTGGACTCTTAACTCTGGAAAGCAGAGCAATGAGTAGCTTCTGACAGAGATGTATGCACTCATGAGTGCGCAAGAGTGAATATGGATCTATTGATTATGCCTTCTCAAAACAGAACAATAAGGAGGACAAAAAAATTAATATTAGAGGTAACTTTTTCAGACGATGCCTAAAAACAAACCCTCTTCCATTTTCTCCCCCTGCCCTAGTTCTAATTATGTATGTGGCAATTGGACAAACTCACAGGAGAAATCCATGAAATACAAAGATAACCTACTTGAGGCAGGAAGTCCTGCAGTCCCAGGTGGCCATGGCGGTTAGTGGAGAAGTAGTCTTGTGCTTGCCCTCTTTCAGGTGCTAACTGCTAGCAGAGCAGAGAAGTGCTACATACATTTGGTTTCTCTTACCTTGTTTTCCTTACTTTCCAATACAGTTGTAATGTGGGTTGTTGTCATAGACTAGACAAACTTAACCCTTCACTATAACCCATGATACTGAATGGTAAATGGCCTGTTCTTACTCCACTGCTTTTTGCCAAGGGCCACCAGTGTGCCCCAAGTTCAGGGTTAGTTACCAAAGAGCACTACTGTTCCCTGCTGGGAATCCTGCGTGTCCTACCTGATCTCTAACAAACACACAGGATGGCTTCACACAGCTCTGCTGACTCCATCGGTGTGGCACCCATGCCATTTCAGCACAGCTGGTCTCCAGTGCTGAGTGGTTGCCTAGGATGATGTACGTTAGTAATGATGGTGAACAGACCAGAAACAAACCTTTGCTGTTGACCTGCAGGTTTTGCTGTGGGTAGGTTTGGTCGGAATGAGTGGCTCTAAGACTTTCCCATCCTCTAGGTCTTTGTTGACAACTTTGTCCATGCTGACTTGCACCCTGGGAACATCCTGGTTCAACACACAGCCAACGTCAGCACCAGCAGCAAAGAGCAGGCAGCCATCGTGGACTTGTGTGACACGCTTGTGGTGGAAATGCAGCCACCCCTCAGGCAGCTCTGCCTGGTGCTGCTGGATGCAGGGATCGTGGCCGAGCTGCAGAGTGCTGACATGCGGAACTTCAGGGCAGTTTTCACAGCTGTGGTCCAAGGCCAGGTGAGGCCTCTGTCACAGGGCTGGGTAGCTGAGGCTGGGGAAGGGAGACAGCAGTAGAGTCTGATGGCCAAAGTGATGGTTTTCTCTCTTATGTCCACAATCCTTAAGAGGGGATAGGAGAATTGGTAGCTTGGAAGCTATACTGCACACAGGGATAAGATGTTCAACCTCAGCAAGGAGGCTGCCAGAGTGGAGTGATTTTAGTGGCCCAGGAAACAGGAAGCACTGGTTGCCACTTCCCAGGTCAGGAGTGCTTCTGGTGCAAGTTAGGATTGCCTGGAAGCCACTTGTGTTTGAGATAGTTGCAGGAATCTGCCAAGTTGGAGAAGAGGAGGGAATAGGTCAACATCTTGGTCTTCCATACACATTTTGTTGTTGTGTCAGCATCTGTAGAGAAGAGGAAGCAAAACAGTGGGGGTGGAGGGTCTGGACTCTGCCAGGCCTCTCTGTATAAGGGGAACTACTTTATCCTCCTTCTCACTTACTTAAAATACATTGACTAGAGAATCCAGTGCCGGTGTCTCCTGTTCATTCTGAGAATAAGCATCTGTGTTCATACTTGCATTGTTGGTTCTCAGCTGTGGGTTGGATGGCTCACTAGCATATCTCAAGAGGGACACATTAACTTGGTCAGTTTAACCCGCTGAAGTATACTGAGGAGTAAGTGCTAAACTGTGTATTGGGGCCCTCCTGTGCTGCCAGACTTACTTCTCAGGCACTGAGCAAAGACTGCAAACATTTGATTGATTGCCTGAGCCATGAAGGACTTGCAATGATCTACAGGTAGAAAAAGTGCTACACTATCTCATTGCTGAACCTCGGGCTGTGGCTCTGTACATCACTGTCAGACATCTCTTCCAAGAAGAGCTGCAAAGCCTCTCACAAGTGAAGCCTGGGTTTGGCTCCCTTTCTCACCAAACATCTCTTGGTGTAGAATCAGTTCACTCCTCTGTAGTTTGCAGGTTAAAGGTTGGACCTAGCCCATAAGGGAGGTTAATATATGCCCTTCTTTATACCATTATCTCCTCTGCTAAGAAAATGTTAGTCATGTGGGTTTTATTTCCCTCCCCTAAAACTTCTGACTGCCTGAGAGATACCTTTGTTGTGTTCTATCCTGGAAGAAAAATAAACAGGATTTTGCTAGATATGAGCTAAGACTTTTGGACCAGTTTGGCTGCTCTTGCACCTGTTTCTATTGATTCATGGGGTCTCTGTTGCTGGAATGAGAAAGACTGGGCTTGGGAGTTCTCCCTGCAGTATGCTTCCTCCAGGGACCTTTGCAGCAGGGGCCTTCCAGCTCTCTGTGGGCACCAGTGATCCGGTTCTGATTCTCCTTTTCAACTTGTTTCACAGGGGGAGAGAGTGGCAGAACTGATCCTTCATCATGCCCGTGCTAACCAGTGCCAGGATATCGAGCGGTTCAAAGCTGAGATGGCGGAACTAGTGACCAAGGTCCAGGGGAACACCATTGCCCTGGGAAAGGTGAGTGCACTGTGTCCCACCCTTGCTTATCAGTAATGCAGTGCAACTTGGCTTTCAGAATACACTGAGAATGGAAAGACCAGCTCTTACCTCATCAGCACTTACCACCAACATCTGCGGTTCCCTGTGAGGAGCTGCTAAGCCAAATGTTACAGCTTGCATCCTGTTAGCTAAGGCCAACCTGGGTGCTTCAGAAAATGTAGTGGTGGCATTGAACAAATTAATGCATGTTGTGTACTGCTGTGAGGTCCGATGTTCTCAGCCTTCCTGGGCTAGCAAGTAAGCAGAACCACAGGTCATAGCTGAACTCCTTATCCTGGCCAGGGTGGGGGGAATCATATCTTGATGGTGGCTGTTGGCAGCCCAATAATTTTGTCCCACCACCAGAACTAAATGCTAACACTTAGAAGAATCCAGCCTGTCACTCAGTCTTCTTGACCACAGGTTTTTTTTCAGTTGTTAAATTCTCCTTTTGTAATCCAGCTTCAGGTGGCGAATCTGCTCTCAAATGTCTTCAAACTGTTGATGACCCATAAGGTGAGGTCCTGTTGCTGTCTGCCTTCAATTGCTGGCAATTCATTTTGGGAGGGAGAAAAACTCAAATGAAGGGCTAACAAGGGGGGGGGGGATGGACGGATGGACGGACCGACTGTGGGTTCTGAAACAAGCTGCAGGAATTCATCGAAGTATTGCAGGCATATTTGTTTCTCAGGTCTTGATACACACCCTGCCATGACCCGTTTCTTGGGTCTGCATTAATACCACATTTAACTAAAACGAATGTTTCTGTGATATATTTTTCCTATTTTTATATAGTCACAAGAAGAAAATGAAATCTAATGTATGTTCCCTTTGTTGTATCACTGCACACTTTCTTCCCTAGACCTCTTCCTTGATGTGGGGTTACGGAACTGCAGTAGGCCACTTTACGGGTTTGTTAGGAACCTTCAAAGTGAGAAGTTGTTCACAGAACAGAGGTTCCATCTTATAGATGATAGTATTTGGAGAACATGTTTCCACAGTCACAAACAACTTTGGAAATCAACAAATCTGTGGTGGCCTGAACTAGAGGAGATGAGATGGCTGTCAGCTACATAGCTGTCCAGCCTGTAAAGGGTCCCTCTAAACATTCCTTAGTTAGAGGTTGCTGTCATTAAGTCTCATTAAGCTGGTTTCTAAGAAAATGTAATTTAGGCCCTTACAAAGCAAATCCTCTCAACTCGATGAATTCTTAATGCCCCGGTATGCCTTGAAACAATCCCAGTACCTGGCTGAGAACTGGGGAATAGTTTGGTCACATGCAGAGCAGAGGTTTCCTCTGTGATCTGGGGGCTCTTTTGTAGCCATTCAGGAGGTGAGATCCCCTTTATGCATGTGCCCCTGTTCAAGTACATTGGATACTGCAGCTTATAACTACACTAGCAATGGTGAGGACTCCTAAGCTCCTGCTATGTCAGTACGGAAGAAAAAAAAAATCCCAGTCCCCTTCTAGAGCTGAAAAACAAACTTCTAGGTTCCCTTAGGGCATTTAACCTGAAACTGTCACCTTATTTTTGGGCCTGCTGCTGGATTTCAGTGAGTTCTGAAACTCACAAGTGATGGAGTTGCAGCATACCTTCAGGTATGCATAAGCTCTTCCCAGTCTCTTCCCTTCCCTCTGAGCTTAGCCAGAGAATTCTGTGGAATTCTTAGCCCATTCTGTAGAACTGGCTCAGGAGAAAGTAAGTTCTGCCAACTCCATTTAGTCTCTTGTCATTCTAGGTGAAGCTTGAGAGCAATTTTGCTTCTATCATCTTTGCCATCATGGTTCTGGAAGGACTTGGTCGTTCCCTGGATCCTGAACTGGACATTCTAGAGGCAGCTAAACCACTGCTCATCAAAACTGCAGCTTCTGTCCTCAGATAGACTTCTGTGGCTGGTGCCCCCCTCTGTGCAGGGTTATACCTCTGCCGTCAGTGAGCTGACTGAGAAAGAAGCTGATGGTGAGAAGTCATGTTTCTCCTGGGGACATACCATGCAGAGGTTACTCTCCGTTAATGTTGCTTTCAGTTGTTTCAGCCAAGCACCAGGCTGAGATGATCAGAATTCCAGAAAACAGGAAGACTTTGCACAATTGGAGACTTCTGACTCATCGCATAGTTCTAAGAGCTAATGTGCTCTGATAATTTTTAAACTGGCATATCATGTAGTTTAGGTGCACATGATCGCTGCAGCCTGATGAGAAAAGCAGTCTGACTTGTCTAAAAGTCTTTAAAAAAGATGTTCCAGTCTGTTTTGAAATCTATCAGGTTAAATATGTAAAGTTGTTATACTGACTTACCTGTCACTGTGGGATGAGACATGGTGTTCTAACACCACCTAAGCAACTCATTCAGGCTGAAAAAAAGCCAATAACCTTTTTGTCTTTTACACTTTTTGCTTCTACTTTTATTGTAGAAGTGTCCTGAGATCCTGCAGGGAATGGTGTGTTCTTAGGCATTTGGGATGATAGAAACAGACCAGGCAAATGGACACCCCCTCCCCACCACTCTAGCACAACACAGATAAACAGCAAAAGAAAATACTTGCCTAGGCAGGAGACTGAATTCCATAATAAAAAACAACTTTTGGGAATATTTGTACTGCTCTTAGTGTTTTGTATTTGGGTTTTTCTTTAAGCTTGAAAAAAAGCCTTTTTTATTTCTCTATGCGTTTCCTTCCTATCACTCTCCCCACTGGTCCCCTAGTCTCACCCTGATCAACTCAAAGCTTTAACTAATATGCAAATCTGTGCCTTTTGTTTCCAGTAGTTTGCAAAACAAGGAGTCCAGGCATGGGTGGAAAATGCATTGTGAACGTTTAAAATTAATTACAGCTAGCAAAATGTGGCTTTTACAGTCATTTTAATTGCATTAGTTTATGGCTGCATTTTAATAGTGAGAAATACAGGCTACAAATGACTGGAGATACTATAATACTAAATATATTCCCAGATATACTGCATGTGAAATTGTAGCAGCACAGTTTTTCTGCAGTGGTCTGTTTTCAGATGGTTAGGCAATCAAGAAAAGGACCTTAAGCAGACAATGTGTTTTTTTATGGTGGTTATAAAATAATGATTAATACATGAAGTCTGAAAATTAAGTTTAAATGCTGCTTAATATATTTAATGTATTTTCCTTTAACCATTACATGTTCCACTTGTAATGCTTACGGATAAAAGCAACAGTAGAGTTTGAGACTAAGTAAGTTTTAGGTTTGTTTCTTTAAGTCTAATAGACTTAAACTCATAACAAGGTACACTGTTAAGTAGCGCATGATTTTGTGTAAAGGAGAAACGTAGAATCACAGAATGGTTTGGGTTGGAAGGAGCCTTAAACCTCATCCAGTTCCAACCTCCTGCCACAGGCAGGGACACCTTCAACAGGGAAGGACACCTTCCACTAGACCAGGTTACTCAAAGCCGTGTCCAACCTGGCCTTGAACACTGCCAGGGATGGGGCAGCCACAGCTTCTTCAGGCAACCTGTGGCAGTGCCTCACCACCCTCATAGTGAAGAATTTCTTCCCAATATCTAATCTAAATCTCCACTGAAAGAAGAAGAAAAGCAAGAGACCCCCAAACTTTACATTAGAGAAAACCTTCATGTGCTGCCAGGACCTGCTTTCCCTCTTGCCACGCCCACTTAGCTTGAGGGGCTGAGTCCATCAGCTGTGCAGGTAGGGGGCACAGCAACCCGTTTGCTTCCTGAGGAAATTTCAGCCAGCATTTCCAGAGACTGAACAGAGCTCAAATCAAATGACAGAATTCAATGTGAAATGCAAAACTGTGCCTCACATGTAGTTTCCATGTATGCAGCAAATGATATTTTTTTCAGACCTTAACTAAATGCCTAAGCCTTCACCTTATATTTAGGTTCATCTTTCCTCCCCCCCCCCTTTCTTTTTTGATAAAAATCTCAGAATAGTTCATGCATATTATAGATCCTAAAGTTTAAAAATACCCCTTTTAGCTATTAAGGCCTTAGAATAAACATCTGGCTGAGACTTAACTGCCTTTTTGGGGAAAGTTGAAGGCATAGCTTCTCAGTTATCTCTTAAGGAATGCAGCCTGAGCCTCACTGCTGAGAAGCTGCTGGCCATACAAAAGGTTTGGCAGAATTACAGAGGGGTTCCCTTCTGCAAGTTTAATTTTTTCTTTCAGAAATTACTGTTATGGCTGATGCTGTGGTCCTGGAAAAGGGGTGAATTTCATAACATGCTTTTTTGCTGAGTGATGTGCCAGAAAATGTGGAACATGTTTCTAAGTATACCCAGAACGTCAGGCAACAACATCTACATTTTGTATCTAGTTCTGTTCTAGGTATACTTAAAACAAGATATTGGAAATATTAGCTACATTTCAGCATAATTTTGTGTAAATTAACATTCTTCAATAGAGCTCTGAGCGTTCCAGCAAACAAATCATGCCATGTCCATTCTCCCTTCCTAAATATCCATGTGAATAAATCAGTTACCTTTCTGGCTACCCAAGGCTGACAACAGCATTCTGTGATGCAGCCACTGTATGCACCTCTGATGATATGAGGAAGAAGGACAGTGCTTCAGGATGTGACAAGCGTAACCTCCTCCTCCCCTCTGTGAAAGAAGGCACCTCCACTTGTCAGAGTACAGCATGTTAAAAACCCTCTTCTCTCCTGCTGACAACACATGCTTCACTGAGGAAGTCAGTAATGTGCTTAGAAAAATCAGGGAGGGGAGTCATGCGCAAGTAGCATCGTGGACTCCAAATAGTAACTGTTTTGGCCTGTAGCTAGAATGGGGAACTCCTCCCATCTCATTTATTCATGGTGAACAAAAAGTCTGTTTATTCTGACCAGGTGCCCTATCTGCAAAGATACCTGAGTATCCTTCTGGTCTAAGATGACCTGCTGCTGGAGACTGCCAGCCTGAACACAAGATTGTAGGCAAAACAGACCGCCAAGCCCAGCACAGGGTTTAGTGATTCTCCATAGACAGATATGGCAGATAACAGATACTTTTCACATCATCGTGCCTGGAAAGGGTGTCTTGTCACTGAAAAAACACCTTCCTTTTTGCATTCTAGGCTCCTGTAAGTCATTCTTCCTCGAGGGGAGTGGCTTGCATATTCCAAGCAGTACGTAACCCTGACACTTACCTGGAGCCCAAGCTGGAGGGTTCCAAGTTGTCTTACCACGTTTTCTGTAGCACCTCGCCTGTCCCTGAATCCTTGCCCTGTCCCCTACAGCAGTTTTAGCAGGAAGTAGCACAAGCCTAAGGCCAGGTTGGGTGGGGCCTTAAGCAACCTGGTCTAGTGGATGGTATCCCTGCCCATGGCAGGGGGTTGGAACAGGATGAGCTTTAAGGTCCCTCCCAAGCCAAACCGTTCTGTGAGTCTGTGAACTTTGTCATAGGTATGGGGACTTCTCTACAAGTCTCTGCAACTCATGTGCAGTGGGGCACTTGTAAGAGTCTGTTGTTAATAATGGAAACTGCAGTGGATAATTTACATTGTACATTTCCATTGCTACAGGGTTGGTTTTGGTTTTGCATCCAGCTGGTGTCTAGCTCTCCTTCCCCATTTTTCATATAACTTTAACATAGCAAGGCAAGTCATATGACCGCATCACTTAACCACACTTCCTATTTTATGTGGTCCTTGACCTTAAAGAAATAAATGTGCTCTTCTGGCACTGGTCTGGAAGAAACACAGCAGGGCAGAAAGTTCACAGAATGCAGTAGCGGAATGGGGAACTCCTCACACCTTTATTTAATTTCCCCACAGGCTTGTGTTAGCAGGACTTAACCTGTGCCTGTGCTTCCACCACTTCATGTAAGGGTCTCATTCCCAGGGTGTTTCTCCTGATCTTTCTTGTTCTTCACCTCCTATTGTATCTATTGCCCATACCTTCACTTAATTAATTCCTCCTTTCTCTGTCATTTGCATCTTGAAAGCAGTTACAATCTGATGCCGCCAGAAGACTCTAGGTCCTGTGCCCTTTGAATCACTTTTATAATTCCCAGGTTCCCTGCTGCTCCACTGTGAACTGCCTCATGACCCTTTCACCAGCCTCTGACTACAACTTCACATTACAGGCACCAACTCCTTGAAGCCCTGTGGAAGGAGCTGGGCACCTCAAGATGCCTCTGGGGCAGAAACTGAGCAGTATGGCTGTGTCTCATTAAATACCAAGGTAGCTTTCAGTTGCAGAGTTGGGTCTGTCAGCAGGGCTGCTTGAGACAAAAGAACAGCTTGACAGAGGTGAACTAGAACAGTAACTCCAGAAAGAAATGTGTGAAGGTCCCTTCTAACCCAAACTATTCTATGATTCTACCAAAGTGAACTCTGGCTGCAACGTAAAGGAGACGAAAGACCTCTCTGGAAACCACAGTTCTACTTGTCACAACTGCATTCGTGCACCCAGGCTCCGGTACACTGACACACAGCTACAAGACACAGATCAGGTCTGTGAACACCTCAAGGGCCTGCTTACCCACTCTGCAGCTTCCTTATGCTAGTAGCGATGCCCGGAGCATCAAAAGATTCTGTTCTCTGAGGTACTGCTGGAGGTCATTGAGTTGCTGGCCTTCTTTCTCCACCTTCTGGCGTGAACGGTCTCTGCTCTGGAACACTCTCCCTTTGGCAGCCTGCTGCTTTTTTTGTTGCCTGTCCTGCTCCCGTGATTCTTGTTCCAACATTTCCTGCCGTGACTGCATTCTGCTCCTGAGAAAATCCTACATAAAGACATTTACAACTGCACAGCCAGCTTTCATGCTGAATTTCATCCACATTTATCACCAGCAGAAGCCAGAAATGGGTGTAATTTATGAAAATTCATTCCTTACATGTAGAAGGACTCTTTCTGTGGCAGAAATGGACAAATTTACTTCCCATCTTTCATCTTCATACATGTGTCAAAAAAACCTGTTACCCTTCGTTTCTTTACCTCTAAATTATACTGGATATATTGCATATGAAACAGGTGAAAGAGAAATACTGTGGATGGTGCCGCTGCTGGAAACATGGTAGTACAGGAAAAACATTTTGCACTTGCTCTTACCAGCCTTTCTTTCTCTTGTTCAAAGCTCCTTTCATTGCATTTTGCCTGCAGCTCCTTTCTCTGCACATGCTGTGTCTTTAAGAACTGTAACCTCTGACTTGCCTTCCTCTTCTCCTCCTCTGGGAAGAAGGATTCCTTCCTGCTCCTCTCTGCCCTAGCAGCCTGGAGCAGTGCCATGTGCTGCAAAGCTCTGTCTTCTTGCTCCAGCCGTTTCTCCAGCTCTTGCAATATTCTCTGATGCAATCGCTGCCTGTTTCCAGAACAAAATCTCTCAAATTCCTCAGCAAGAAAGAGCAATAAAAGAATAAGACAGTGCATGAGGCACAAGGCAGATATTCTGGCAATCTGTGCTCTGTTAATATTGCAGGACTCTTTGTCAAGTTATGAGGGTTAAACCTGTGTCCTAAGCGGGGGTGGCAAAAACCCCAAATAGGCTGGTGCTGTCATCTGCTCACCTGACTTTCCTAACCTGGTGTGGCTGGGTGTTCCTGGCCCTGAAGACCAGGAGCAATGAAAATGGATTGTGCAGACAGGGCTATAGGACTAATCCAGGCAACTGGGTGGCTATGTGCCTTGGTGATAGAGCTACAGTGGCAACAGAAGAGATGGAAGGAGGTGGATCATGGGGGTGAAGATCTGCTGAGCTTAAGTGGACTGGGGCAGGGAATGGGGATTTGGGAGGCAAAAGGACTTTGGGTGAGTATGAGGTTGAGGAGAATCTGCCCTTGAAAGTAAGTGTGAAGGCCATGTGTACCCATTCAGCTATATCTCCAGCAGCAATTTTATTCCTGTTAGTAAAGTACCATGACCACTCTGCAGAGACGTATGAGGCACAGCGTGTTATGTTCAGAGACTGAATAAGAGCACCAGGGAGTAGACATCACCAACCTTCTCATATTTACTACAAAAACATTTAGCTCATAGGTATCACCTCTGACTGTCCCTGCGCAGCTGGCGTCGGATGCCATCTGCCTCTTGCTGATGCTCCCTCTTCAGCTGCCTCTGTTCCTCTTGCCGTCTTTTGTGCTCAATCTTGGCTCTGTTGAAGTCCATCTCCTTCCATCTCTCCTGAGGCACACCATTAAGGATTGATTTCTAAGAGAAAAAAAATCAAACCAACCCCCTTAATCTCATTAGTATGTTTACCTAATGCAAACTGTAAACCTACAGAACCAGAACAGCTTAGTCTTCTAATGTCACTCCTGAGCTCTGGAAGCCACACTGGTTTCCACGAAAACTGTTCCATGAATACTGGCTCATGAATACTGTTGTGTCACTTCCCACCCGTGAAAACGCTGAGTATGATGCTAAAGCCTGCACAAAAGAATAAGCTTAACCAACAAAGGGGTGTCTGAAAATCCAGTTTTAAGAGTTCTTCTTAGGTCAGTAGGTTGTGCTGTTCTGGTTGTTCCAGTGTTGAGCCAATGCTTAAACTGCCCAATCTTTGTGTCAGCTCCTGGAATGGATGGAAATTACAGGTTCTGACCACAAATCAGAGTACAGATTCCTAATTAGATTTATTAGAAAGAGGAACTTCTGCCTCCCTTTGGCCAAACACAAAATCTTCCCGGAGTTCTCTGCAGGTGTACTAACTCTTCACTTCCTGCTTGAGGTTTCTACCCAGGGTCAAGGAGTCTGTGTTTATTCCAGTAGTAGCTGCATTTCAATGCTGGGCAGTGTTCCTAACTTGCATTTTAAAATGCACTGTGCTGTGTAAAGAGATAAAGGAGCACCTACAAGGCTTCTTTTCACAGCCATTTATTTCTTTTGTACTCCTACAGTGCCCTCTATGAGGGAAGGAGCAAGGGAACATTATGAAAACATAGACATGCTTCCAGACTACAAAACTAGAGCTGTTTGGGTCTGGAACAGAGTTTCCACAAAACATTTTCCTCTCTCAAATGCACGCACTCCCTGGGCTATGTGATTCAGCTCACTACACAGACTTTCTCTTTTTTTGCTTTCAGTATCTGTAAAAGAGGAATAATTCTTTTGCTATCTAGGGTCTACCAGAGGCTGAAAGTTTGACTTAGAAAAGAAGAGCCAAAATAAAAAACTCTATCACAAGTGCCGAGTAAAAACACCAAAAGTGCCCTGTTCCTGTACAACACTGATTCTCAAGTGGAAACCACATGTTTCTATTTATGCATAGTCATTATTCTACATAGGCATGATTTCTGTTACAGTCAAAACCTTAGAGAAAGAGGTCAAAAGCAGGTTGGTACTAGATGATTTTAAGATCCTTCCCAACCCTAACCATTCTATGATTCTATGATACTCTCCCATGACATAAACAAATCACTTGGCCCTAACAGCTAAATCTAGTTTGGAACAAATACTTACTGTAATGCTTTTGTCTTTTAGAAGGCTGAGAGTTGTGGATCTCCTAAACTGCCCACTGGAGGTGCTATGTGGCCTCTGTGTACGCAGAGCTGATCTGATGGTCAGGCTGTCTTTCTGTAGCGATTGATTCACACTGTCAAAGAAGCTTTGGCACCTGAAAGGAACCAAAGCGCTGGTTCCCATGGAAGGGTTCCCTTGGGAATGCTGGATTGGAGCTTCTGCCACTCTGGACTCAAAAAGACCTTTCAAATAAATTAGGGCAGGGACATATGAGGTTATAGGCAGCTTATGAAAAGAAAGTCTTCTCATATAAAATATATTCCATCAAGACTTTGATAATTTATGTCCCAATTTTGGCTGGGATAGAGTTAAGGAGTAACTTAGTACCAACATTTTCCTCTGAGGAGGTGGGATATTTTTTTTTTTTAGTGTCCACAAAACAGGTCCTAGCTTTCAAAAACCAAGGTTGCCATTGTAATCAAGCATAAGTTTTGCCTGGTAACAGAAGATCACTGACTGCACTTCCAGCTACTCAGGCTTCAGGATTGTTTACACGGTATTTCACAGACACACATGAGCTGCTCCTGCCAGTGCTCTGAGACATGGAAAAACTACACATTCCTTGCCAGGGCGAAGCCTGACCTATCCGTCCGCCTGAGAGACAGGAGAAATTAGCTTGGGCACAGCACTGTGCTAACACAGCTTTTGGATAACTGAGAACACGAGCAGCATTTGGTTGCACCTCTCTGCTAAAGACAGCGTACACCAGAGTGACAGCTGTTGCATGGAATGATAGTGGGACACCAGCTGGGAGGAAACGTGCACTCCTGGTTGACTTTTCTTTCTCCCTCTACCAGCAGAGGCACAAAACAATGTGGTAACAGAGAAAGCTTTAGGCTTTCAGAATCCTCACTTAGATGCCTGCAGTTGTCACAAAACTGACTTAAATAAGAACAGTAACAATATGTTTAAAATCAGGATCCAGCCTCTTTTGGATGATAAGAGAACAAAAGTTTACTGTTGTCATTTTCAGCACAGAGGAGGAGTGTTCTGCAGAACAGTCCTGGTGAAGTCTTTCTGCTATAGGCAGTCATAGTTAACCTTACAGATTGATTTTTAAAGTAAGGAAATTTTGTAATAAATTATATTTATAGTGAGCATTATGATAAAGGTTAAAAAACTCAAAAGCTGCTACTTCAACGGGTGTAGAAGCCAAAAACCCCAACTTCCATCTGATAAACCTTTCACCTAGGGAAGAAGATGAACAACTTCTCAAGCTGTACCACCAATAACACCTCCACAGAACGATACTACGTTATGGTGGCTGTATTCACAGCATGGCATTATGGCATTTTCTTTTGAAACACCGAGAATATGGCAACAGATCTTAGACATGATGGCCTGTAGGACTGACACTGTGTGGCAAGTCTTACGTTTGGATAAAAGAGCTACAATTTCAATACCGTGTTTGTGTTTAAAAAGAGCCTCAGTTTCAGCATCCTGCTGTCTGCTGTCTGTTTCTTCCTTGTGGACTGTCTCCATTAACCAGCTGTCTGTGTTGACGGCAGTATCAACCATAGCATGAGCCATCTCCATCTGAGGACTCTAGAAATAACAAGAAATACAATCATAATCCAGACCTAAAGAACAGGTTAGTTTCATGAACTTAGAGAACTTACGTTGCAACTAGAGTTTAAGACAGTAAAAAGAAATTCTGTGCAAGTTCTTTACTAAAGAAACAACTCCATAGTAGAATAAGTTGTGATCCCTTTGTGGCCCTGTCTGCATGTTCAAGTGACCTAAAAATGGCAGTACTTCCCCTGTAAGGGTCCAAACTGGTAGAAAAGAGATCAGGCCAGAGGATGAAGCCAGTCACGTTTATGGTGCCAGAAATTAGGATTCTAACCCTTACATAACCATGGGCAAAAGCTTAGCGCTAGCTGGTGCCTCCTCCGTACTGATCTTCACCAAGTGCCCTGTTCACAGGCACCAAATCAGCTACCAAGGATCACAGGAGTCTCTTGTGCTCTTTCACTGGGAGAGGTGATGCCTCTAACAGAGTGGAGAAATACCTGAACAGAATTATGCAGGGACTGCCTTGGTATAGAGTAGTCCTTACAGTAATCCTTATCCAGTGTAAAGTCTTCTGTCTGAGACTTTTTCCTGCCTTTGCTTCCCTCATGAAGAGGCAGGATGTAAAGAAACTGCACTATGTGACACTCCTTCATATTCTGCATCCATGGAAGAGGTTCTAGGGGTCTGTTCCAGGCAGTGATAGTAACAGCTAGCTCTTTCCACAGGCGAAGGATCAGGAAGACAGTGCAGAACACATACATAAGGACCAGGCCTAAAACCTCTAGCAATTTTTTGGTACCAAGAGCAGAAAACTTGAGGTAACAAAGCAGACATTATACAAATAGCAAACCACATGTTAACAGAAGAGCCAGGATTAAACTTTTTTTACCTTCTTAGGTTCTATAACTTCATTGTCCTCTTCCAAACAAGGCTGAACTTCATTTGGAAGATTTTCTGTCTTCAATCCCTTATCTTTCATTTCCTCTTCTTCTCTGAAAACACTTTCTGAGCATGAAATACTCAATTCGGACATTTGCTCTTCTATTTTATTGCTGAGCTCTTCTTTAGTGAAGCTTGTTCCTGGGATGAAGACATCCTCTTCCTGCCCTTTGCACCCTGTAGGCTGCGTAGATTCCCAGGCTTCAAGGCTGCAATGGGGAAGTGAGGTACACCTACAACTACACTTAATACATGGCTGAGTTGAATACAGACCCCTTGGCCAGTAGTGCATGTCTGAGGGATCCAGTCTGTAATGGCCTGAAGCTCTATAACCCGGTGCCACGATGTATGGATAATCCAAGCTTGAATCTACCACCATCTGCCTGGCTGCTAAAGGCATCTGCAGTTCCAGGATGATGCGTTCACTTAAGGGCAGAGGAATCCGCAGAGCTTGGTCAGAAGACACCTCCTTAGTCCGCCCATTCCAGAAATTCACAAGCACTCCCCTTCTGTTGTGTGCTGTGCATATTGAGAAAGAAAATAAAGGCATAGAATGTATGTCAGCCTGTGTGCTTTTTCTCTTAGAAGGCAGGAGATAAAAGCAGCAGCTTGTGTGAAACACAAGCTTGTGACAACTTCTGTGATTTTTTTTTTCTTGAAAGGTTTAAAATTTGACCTTGTTTTGAACTTCCTATGAAGACACAGCAGATAGCAACATTCCTGCTCATCACAGCGAGCCGGGATTTTGCTCTGCAAAAGCTGGAAACTAGACTGACAGATCACCAGGTGAATATTCATGGGGGCCAGGAACGTTTATCTCCTTGTGTTAGTAGGATGTGACGTGCCTCTCTCCCAGGCTTTTAAGAAGTTTCCACTCACAGAACAAAGCAAAGATTAATTCTGGGAGCTGCATTAATTCTGGCACCGAAAAAGAACAGGCTGCTTACTGCCAACAACAACAAAAATAACAGAGATGCTGAAGAGAACCCAAGCAGCAGGTGGTGAATTCTCCATGATTAAGACTTCTCTTTTCTGTATAGTAACCAGCAACCGTGGCGGGTGTAGCACTGCTAAGAAAGCCAATTCCCCCGTACCTAAACATGCTTCCTTGTTCTCCAGAACCTTTAGCACAGTGCCTGGGCCAAAACGTTCAGCTCTAGCCTCCCACGGTGCTAAGACCCTGTCTCCTGGAGCAAGCGGCTGTCGCCTGGCATCTTCATAGTGGAGAATGTCGTAGAGAGGGGTTTCCTGTATTCGAAGCTGTGCCTTGCCTTTCAGAGTGCCACTCCTGTCAAACTCAATTAAAAAGCGCTCCCTGGAGCCCTACAAGAGTAAAACATGCTGTTTGTGAGACACACATGTGGGGCCAATTATCGGCCAAACGTAAGTGCTAAGAGGGAAGTGGCAGAAATCCCAGGAAGAGGAATGTAATCTGGGAATGTAAATTTCCTTTTCTACCAGGTTTTTCACTGTACCATGTCCATGTTGGGCTTTAAAAGCAATTATGAGGCTGGGGCTCAAGGGGCTGGCAGCCTTTCTCTTCCTTTAATTTTGGACTTGGATTTTAGTAAGAACACAATTAGCATGCTAAGGCAGAACCTTACCAGGAAAACCTCCCATCAGAAAGAATAGCCAAAAGAAACTGCTGCGTATGGTGCAGTTTGTTCTGCAGTAATCAAAAGGATAACAAACCAGTAAAATATCATAACTGCCATAAATCTAAGTGCTTTACTTTAAGCCTTCAGCAATGGGTGAGGGGAAGATCTGTTACTGAAGTCTCAGCCTCCTCTGCAGTTCTGTGAGCGCACTTACAATGTAACACCATCAGCAATTCTAATGCATCAGACTCCAGCTAATGTCACTTGTGCCTTTAGCTGTCCCCATCTGTTCCACCCCATGCTGGAGCTTGCAGCCATCCTGACCTATAGTAGCATCACTATTTATTTAACTACACTGCGAACTCCAGAACAAACTGAATTTTTAAAGAAAACCTGCAGGGGGGGGGATTTTCTGTCTGGAACCCAAACTCATCTCGCCAATCCCAGAAACATAGCTGGAAGAGAATGAGGAAAACTTTTGGCTCAGTAAGCAGGAGGGCATGGTCCCTGGAGGGGGACATTTTGGGTTACTGATATGCTGTTTAGCTCATTGACTTTGCTGCTAGACTGGGCAGAAGCAAGTAACAGGGATAGGGGACCTGGTTTGTTTGATTGTCTCTGGAAACCAGCTCATTATAACTACTAAATGGACTGATTTCTAGGCTGCTTTTGCTTGCAGGACTCCTCAGAGTAAAGAGCTAGTCACCGCCAGGAAACACGGAAGTAGGATGTGGGGAGACTTTACTGGTTACTAAGTGCACTGTATGAAAGGGGAGCCACTCCACAGCAAGGGCATGGGACCAGTGAGGCATGGGAAAAACAGAGAAGACACACAGAGCAGCAGAGTTCCCAATAAATAACTACCTTCACCTCCTGGGCAATGTGCCCTAGGTAGTAATAGCCATCAGCTTCTCTCCTGGCCAACACACGAGCCCCCCTCAGAAAACTGGAAGCCTCTGGGTATGAATCAATGAAATTCCTTTTTGCTGAGGATATCGAGGACCTACAAAAGGAATCTGGGTTCCATGCACAGACAGGAAAGCTGTGGAAAATGGAAATACAACTAATGAAGACTTTGGCAACAGAACTCCTGCAACTTGCTATAATGAAAACAAGTGAAGTGCCCATGGAACACCCTTCCCACCCCACAGTAATTGTCCTTGTTTCCTGGCTTTTTCTCCTCTGCCTTTCCAGTGACCCATCTATAGATTCTGAACTCACTGTGTTGCTGGACATGTTGGCAGCAGAGAGCCACAGGGATCTTTATGAGCTGCATGACAGCACCGGACATGTGAGACAGACATGGAGCTTACCTGGAGGGTGGAAGGAGGTGGAAGCAGAAGATGAGCATGATATTTTAACACTTAAATCCTTAAACAGGAATATTATTTATAAAACTGAAATTTACTTCCCAGTGTATTACTTCCCTCTTTGTTTTAATTCTTCCATCAAACCTTGGGATACTACACTATTTGTCTATCAGCTCATCACAGATTGTTAGGGTCTTAAGCAGTCAAGCTTGGAAAGGAGACAAGAACTGTGTTATGAAAGAACCCTTGTGTTTCACCTGCTTTCTATTTAGCTGCTAGGTATGTAGCAGCTGTATCACCCTTTCTTCAATCACGATGAGGTATATTGCTCAAAGGATGAAGTGTCATTTCAGGTATACACAAAGTTATAGCAGATATCCATTTCGGCCCATCTCAGATCCTGTCACCATTTTACTCTGCCATGAAGGAGGCACTAGACATGTGATTCTTGTATCAGAATAGTTTTATCATCTTACTAATTCTTACTCCTTTCAGTTAAGTGATTTTAGTAAAGAGCTTTGAACCTGGAAAATACACCAGTTTCTCAGGACCAGGCATAGCTTGGAGACAGGCAGCAGGTTGCTGATGCTGCCTCTCCATGCTCAGCAGTGATGCAGGTATATCAAACTTGCTGGCTTCCTCCCACTCCATCCACCCCTGGCTCTCAAACAATAGGTTATGGGCAGCCAGTGTCATGTGTGGATTGCTGTCTTGTACCGTGATCCTTAGCTGTCCAAGCTCCCCAAGCAAGCAAGAGCTGCGAGGTCAATGAGAGGATCTGAAATCAAGGAAGAATGAAAAAAGTGGAGATTGAGTCTGGGAAAACAAGGGAAAAATAAAAGGAGGAGGAAAGAAAGCGAAGAGGACGAACAGGAGCGCCCTTCACACGTGCAGGTCTTTGCTAACGTGGGACAGGTATGCAGTTCTTCACGGGGTGCTGCTGTGCTCAGGTACCCCACACAGCTCACCTCTGCATCCCCGCTACCGCAACGCCTCCTTTCCTTGCCCCCTGCGGGTGCCCCCCTCCTCGCCTCTCCTCTCCACGTTGGAGAGGGCGCCGGCCAGCAGGAAATGCTCCACACCGGGCGCTCCTTCAGCGCACGGCTTCCACCGATGCCGCGCTAAAGCACCGTTGCTACGCAACTGGACGCTGTGAGCTGGACCACGCAGTCCTCCTAGGGGGGGAGAAGAGGAGCAGGTTATATCTTTAGCCCGTTCCTTAAAAACAAACACCCAGCATCGCCTTCTCCCGCTCCGAAACGAGCACTCGCCGCGCCCCTTCATCTGCGCTCTCCGTGAGCGACAACAACTTTTCTCCCCCCGCCGGTGTGTTGGTGCCGTCCTGCCGCTTCCAAGCGCTGGGAGAGGCGGAGAGGCAGGGCTGCCCTCGCAGACACAGAGGTGGGGTGGGAGCGGCACAGCGTGGCGGAGGAGTCTCCGTGAAAGTGTCTCGGTGACCTCGTGTCTCCGTGCTGAGCCGCAGCCTGGTGCTGTGCGTCTCGTCTCCCTCCTACCCAGGCTCGTTCATCCCTCCGCGCCGGGAGTTGGTATGCGCCGGTAGGCGCGGAGGGCCAATCGCGGCGGCTGTTGTTGGCCTGTGCAGGGTGACATTGGGGGGCGGTAGAGCTACCATGGCGCTGGCGTCGCTGGGCCGCTCGGCGGGGCGGCTGCTGCGGGCCGGGAGCGGCGCGGTCGGGCGGCGGCAGTGAGTGTGGCTGGGCAGGGCGGGGGGGCGGGCCGGGTATCGGAGGGGCCGGGTATCGGAGGGGCCGGGAGCGAGACGGCAGCGGTGCGGTTGTTGCAGCGCTGGCGGCGAGGTGCACATCCAGCCGCGGTACCGGCAGTTCCCGGAGCTGACGCGGGCGCAAGTGATCCGCAGCGAGCTCCTCAGCGGCTTCATGTGGTTCTGGATCCTGTGGCACTTCTGGCACAGCTCGGACATGGTGCTGGTGAGTCCGGCGCGGTGGCGGGGGCCGGGTGGCGGGGGGCCGTGGCTGGGCTCTGAGCCTGCCTCTCTCCCAGGGCCACTTCCCGTATCCCGACCCTTCGGCCTGGACGGACGAGGAGTTGGGAATCCCTCCGGACGACGCGGAATAGGCGCCTCCGGCCGCGGTGCCCTCGCTCCCCGGAGCACACCGGTACGGCTCCTCCCGCACAGGCCCCCGGGCGCTGCGGCTGGGCCGGGATTCGCTGTAAGGAGCGATTAGCGCGGTCACCAGGCCAACGGCAGCCCGGATTGTGCTTTACCTTTCCTTCAGAGCTCTCGGTGCCAGGGAGTCGCGCCAGGCGGTGCTTGCTGGGCGCCTTCTCTTGGCACTGCTACAGGTACTCTACTTGCAGCAGTTATTTGTGCGCTTCCGAAGGTAAATGTGCCAAATCTCTGTTGTAGAGAGTGCAGGTAGCTGGTGGCAGCGTTTACAGCCTTCACACACACTTGTCTTGGGTACCTGAATGCTCCAGTGCTGACAGTCTAGTTGTGGCAATGTAAGCCTGCAGTATAGCAACTAAGTTGTAGTTTAACTGCTGCCTGTTTAAGATAATTTTATTCATGCTGTCCTATAAACGCAGCATGACCTATCTTCTGTTTCTAGAGAGACCTGTGTACTTATCCGTTTGAAGGGTTGAGGCTTTTGCTTGTTTCATACTCTTCAGTTGCTCTCTCTCTGAAGCTACTGTGTCATAGCATGGCTGTAAACCCAGCAGCTTCAACTAGTGCAGAAGGCAGCATGGGTTCTATCGAGAGGGTCCTTCCCCTGCTCTCAGTGGTGGGAAAAGGGTGGGTGAAAAGGTTCTCAGGATTCTCTTCTATTACTTGCAGGTCCCTGGAACTAAAGAGGCTCCTGGAACCAAAGCTTTGGCTCCTCAGGTCCTTATTTCAATAAAAGTAACTAAATAAACACTAGGTTAACTTTGTACTTTGTTTCTGAGTGCTGCAGAATTGCTGGAGAATGAACTCCAGCTTTGGAGTCTGCATGAACTTCTCTAGTGTTTGCTCACTACTGCTCAGTTCTTGCTGCCTCAAAGAAATAAGGTGATAGATTCATGTCCAGGAGTGATTTAAAACTTCATAAATGCACTGCAGGTAATAACCTTACCATTAAAGCTCTGTCAAGTAACTTCTGAAGGGGGGGGGAAGGGAGGAAATAAAACTTGTCCATGTTAGCATGCAGAGAAGCTAACTTAAAACACATTCTACTGGCATCTTGTCACCTCCTAACAGTTGCCTTAGAAGCAGGGGAAGTTACCCTGAAGAGAACCCAGGCCAAGCTTTCTCCAGGGTGAAGGGGAATGGGGCCCTTGGCTGTTACCAGAGCCCAGAATAATCCCTGGTGAAGCAAAGCCCACAGCAAAGGTAAAAATCCGTGATGCTGGCTTACTGTGCTTAGCCCTGGGGAAGGTGGTGGTGGTGGGGTTAGTTTATTCCTCCCATAGTTACATTCTAAAGCAACATCAAAGTAATGTTTTCACTCCCCTTAACCACCGTAGTCGTACCTCTGGGGAAGGAGGAGTTGGAACTGCGTGATAAACAAGCTCCTTCAGACTTTACCATGCAGTCAATCTTTATTATAGCAGTATTCTCATATTCACATCAAGTACATAGAACTTTTTGCCTTTTATATAATACAGAGTTCTTTAAATAACTTTACACAGAAATAGTTTTCTTCAATCTGAATTCAGCTATCAAATTTTAATATGTTTTAAGTCTCCATGCTCTCTAACCAAACTGGACAATATTTCCCATTGTACAAATTTACATGAGAAAAACTCCAAAGTACAAATGAAGGGACAACAAAAGTAAAGGGGGAAGGAACAAACAAGAAAAAAGAAGTTGTATTGGCAATTACAGGGGAAACTCGAGAAGGAAAGAAGGGGTGGGGGGGTTGCCATGACCTACGTAACAGGAAACAAAAAATAAACATTTTGTAATGAAGTAAAAAATAAATACAAGTTTCAAAACAATTACTCCATTGTAGGTTTTAAAAAGCAGCTATGGAAATCTACTAACACAATTGGGTTGGTTGGTTGGTTGTTTTTAAGTAACCAGACTGGACCTTCTACTTTGCAGTTACAAGCCCCTTGCAAACCTCTGGTGGTCAAAAAACGAAAAATACAGCTGAAAGGAATGTGTTAGCACACAGTTTAAATCAGTGGGACATACACTTCATTGCACTAAGGAACAAACAAACAGACAAAAAGAAATCAACTCTGTATATAGATTTCCCTTTCCTCTCCTTACTAGATACTTTGCCTCTCATAAACAAGCCTCTGTATTATGAGGTAATGCCATTGTCTTGACTATATATAAAAATAATAAAGTTTAAAGGTTATAGATCTGTGTATCTATAAACTTTAAACAAGCCAGTCCTCTCTTACTCCCCCATGGGGTCCAGCTATGGAGTGCTACACCTTCCATCACTCTCTAATGAAACAAACACATTGTGCCTCTCATGAAACCCCCCAGGAGGCCAGTGCACCTTCCCTAATCTAGGAAAAGCAGCCTGCGCTCAAGTAAGAGAGAGAGACAGTGCAAGTAATGCACAATGGATTACAAACACCTATACCTGCTCCTTCAAAACAAGGCAGAGTCACAGAAGCCAGCAGTGGCCAGCCTGCACGTGTGTCTAGGCAGAGGGGAAAAGGAATCCATTGGGCACCCAGTGACCAACTACATTTACAACTGCTGTAGGAAAATGTCACCTGCGCAGCCCTGGGAGACCACAACTACCCCTGATATGAGGGGAGGATGAAGGGGCAGGAGCTGGCTCCTGCCTCCCCAGCAGCAGCAGACCCTGCTCCAGCAGCACAGGTCAGTGTCAGATCCCAATGGAACATCCAGGGGGGCAGGGCTTTCCCCAATCCCAACAAATGAGACCAAAAGAAAAGCAACGCTAATGGGGGTTGCCAACACGTGCAGGTTGGGCACTGCTGGGTTTCTGTCCATTGAGGAGAAGTGTGGAGAGGGGGAGGAAGGGAAGGCAGGTAGGACACAAGGCTCATGAAGGAATGATGTGCTTTTTTTTTTGTTTGTTTGTTTTATGTTTTTTTTTCTAAAGGTTCACAGCTTTGAATAAAAAAAAAAGCACATTTATTGCACTTACATTTTATTTTAGACAGAGTTAACTTAAATTATGCCCTCGGAACCCCTCCCACCATCCCAAAATAACCCAAGTTTGGTCCATTTTGCCCCTTAGACCCAACAGCCATGCCCAGCTGGCAGCCTGCAGTTCTTCTCCTTATGTTCCACTGAGCTCCCAACCAGAGAGACAGATCTTTTCTACAACCCTGGTGAATACACCAATGCAACACAGAATAACAACATCTAGCAAAACAAAACCCAGCCATTTTCCAAACCCAAACAAAAAAGCAAACAGTTACTTTTTGTGGTTTACTCGCTCAAAAGTACATGTCACACAAGGCTTATTCTGCAGTACAGCTGCTGCAAACGGGACGAACTAGACCAAATGACCACACAGCCACTGCTGGCTCTTAAGGAGGCTGGATGAGCTGAAGACACTGCTGCTGTGATACTGTGAAGCAAATGCCTAGGTAGTTTAGAAGATTCTAAACTCTCCCATCAGCTCCCTTCTCTTGGTGTAATAGTTTATCCATGTCCTAACATGTACTTTTAGTGCAGAATTTGGGGTAGGCAGAAGGATTCCAGGTAGATCCTGAAACATGAGTAAAACATTTTTACACTTTGCTGCCTAAAAGGAACAAAGCCAAATTAAAACTGCTCCGAGATTTTGTAGGAACTGTGCATTTAGACATAACAATAATTCACAATTATGCCTAAAGTCTTGCCCCAGAGAAGAAAAAATCTGAAAAAGCACTAATACCAAAGCCCATTATTTTGTCCTTTATGGACAGGTAGGTAAATATGACACTGGTATGTTAAGTACTGCCACAAGTCTACGTAAGAGGTTTGAAACTTGAACAAATCAAACACACTGGTGGGTCCCCTCAGTTGACAAGACACCTACTATCTCCCATAGTTAATGTGCAGTAACAGTATGCATCACTGTAAGAGGCCAAAAAATAGCTAAGGAAACCTGCTGATGTTCCAGAAAGCAATTAATAGCACTTTCTGGGCCAGGGAATTGAGTGTATAGTCTGATATATGCACACTTGGATTACACAAGTACTAGCCATCAATTTCTCCTCATTCAGCTCTCATTTTTCATCTACAATCACATTCCAAGGAGCTACAACAGTGTAATATTGTAACTGTGTAACTTTGGGCCTCTTCAGGGCTTTCCATTACCTTCCTTTAACAAGATCTTTGTGTCTTTGGAGTGGGAGGAGGGCTTATTCTGAATTAAATGAACCTCATTTAACTTTGGATAGAGCAGATTTTAAGCAGCAGGTTTCCTGTAACTGAATTAGGAATCCTTCAGTTCTAGCTTTGAAATGGTAATAGGTGTTTTGGGGAATGCTGTCTGCCCTCCTTGCTGCTTTACGGAAGTTTACCAACTCCAAACTACCTACCTATAAAGTAATAGCTATGTACAAAACTACTGCAGCAGAAGTAAACCAAAGCCACTGCTCTAGTTACAAAGCACCTGGTTTACATTCTGTTGGACTTCTTAAGGTTGTGAAGGCACATGATCATTTGGCAAACTGCAAAGACTGTTGGGGGGGATCCCTACACAAACCATGCAACAGAGGGACAGTCTTGGTAGCTCTCTGTTCTAAAGAAGAGAGAGGCTAGTTTTCATCTGCAGTTCTTCATGTTTTGTCCTTCCACAGTTTCGTAGTTACTTACTGCTGTCACGGTGCTGACTCAGTAGCTTCTGTGTTAGCATCCTTGAAACTTAAAAGCAGGGAAAAAGTTTTAACAACTTTTCTCTGTTCTTCTGATGATTCCATTTACTAAGCAAGAAGTAATGAAGCAATGAAGATAGACATTTAAAATGCATGCCAAAACAAATGTGAAGTGCAAACGCATATTAACAGGGATGCAGTCAACGGAACACTGATTTCACAAACTTCTATTTAAGATGCATAACAGAAAACTGGAACACCCAGCACCTTCAAAGTGATGGCCTAACAGTCCTCTCATGCAACTGCTTTTTGACCGAACTTGACTGTACCTAGAAGCTTTGCCTGTCACATTGTGCTACTGGTGATACTTTTTTCAACAGACAGAAGACACATCATCTACAGTACTACGAACAGTTTGTGCTACACGTGCTACACTCACAGTCATAGAAGGCAATGAAATCTATAGGCTGCAAAGTGTGAAATGTCTACATGCTTCTTCCCTAAATTTAGCCCCTCCACCTAGCAAAATGTCAACTTATACTTGTTTGTGAGGTGTCTGGCAATCTTGCTTCCCTGCATGGTCTGTTAAATGCTGGATGCATTGACATCAACAGGTAAATACAGAAGCAAACCTATTTATGTGCGATCTTCAGTGTATTTTCTTCCCCTGATTTGGGCTTTTGTGGAAAGATGTGGTAATTATCAACAGTCAGCATTTACTCATTTTATGGCATGAAGGCCAAATTCTACCTCTACTGAGCATGTACTAATCCAAGTAATATTGACAGGCCACGATAAGATGGCAGTATTTGGCCTCAAACATCCTGCATCAGCAGCAGCTGCTAGAGCATTCAGGTGCAAAGAAGGATGATTTTGGGTAAGTGTGAAAACCAGGAAGTGGCTTCATTTAATGGCCTGCATGAGTTGCACTAGCAATAAAGAAATGATTGGGCTAATCGTATCTGGGGCTATGTAGGACTTAGTTCAAGCAGAAATGACTTCCAAAATAACCAGGCCTCTATGCTCATACCATTTGGTTTAAGCTCCATTATTACGTTCCAGTTCTGGCAAATATGCCACAGGAAATGATCTTGTACTGACAGGGAAGATGTAACAGATAACAGGCCTCTTCTAACTGTATGGAAAAGGAAAGGCAGAGGTGAAGGTATATGTGTGGTTAATAAAGGCATGAATATCTGTGACTGGATACCAGTAGTTTTCCAAATGATTAGGTACTAGATACTGTAGAGCTAAAAGCAGTATGACTGTCTGGATGTTTGTCCCAACACGCACACTCAAAATCATAGAATCATCACAGAACGACAGACTGGTTTGGGCTGGAAGGGACCTTAAAGCTCATTCAGTTCCACCCCCCTGCCATGGGCAGGGACACCTTCCACTAGACCAGGTTGCTCCAAGCCCCATCCAGCCTGGCATTGAAAACTGCCAGGGAACTAACATATCCATAATATGGCATGTGCTTGTGGTTTGGACACCACAGAGAAACTTGAGAAATTTGGTGTAATGGACATGAACACATCGGTCATTTCAGTTTATCTCCTTCATCCCACTGCTATACAGGACACTCAGTTCTCTTCTACTCTTACCTCCCCATTCACTAAACATCTACAGGGCACCTTTAAGACTGGTTCTGATGGCATGCAAGACATCCAGAAAAATTCCCAAAGGAAAAGATTAAAAAAAATTAAAATCCCAATTATCTACAAACCAGATTTCTTCCAAAGTTTTGCATGAGTATTACATGGGACCTTTTACAGACAAACACAAACTACTACAGCTATCTGGAGGGCAACAAACATGAAAACCAGTAGAAATGCATCCTGAAAGGACTTCTCTAAGCAGCAGCCAAACAACTTGCACATTCCTCAGGGAAAAAGAAAAAAACCCAAACTCCCAACTCCCCTCCCAAAACCCCAGGAAAACAAAACTACAAACAAACCCCATTAAAAAAACCACAAACAACAGAACAAAACTGAAACAAAACAAACCCCAAAATCCTAAAACAAAACGAGAGATAATGTGTTACTTATAAAGTGCTTTGCATGGACAAGGACAGCAATTTTCCTTGTGCTTTTCCTATGGGCTCAAGAAGCATATTGTAGACTAATGGGTAATGAATCTTCACCAAAAATAAGTTAATTTTAAGCAAAGGTGAATGCAATTCCTAACAGTTATATTTTAGCAGACAATCTTCCCCCAGCATGACCTTGTGGAAGGAAACCAGGGTTTTTAAGAAGGCTCTGTGAAACAAATGACTGTTGAACCACCTTGCTCCAATAAGTTTCTTTCGAGAGAATATTCATTTCCAGTATGTCCAACACCTACAAATGGGGCCACAGAAGGAGAATGAGCAGCGACTACTTCATCCTCTGGGAGTTTGTCTGTGAATGCTCCCACCTGCCTGCTGACCACAGTGGCCCTGGCCCCTTCTACCTCTTAGGTACTGGCCTCAGATGATCACCAGGGAGCACTGTGATTTCACCATATGCACGTCAGTTTGCTCATCAACTTCTCCATGCTGGGAAGTGGCTATTGCTACTGTTTAAATTCCTGCCAATCTCGATAAGGAGAAACCTTACAGCATCTGAAGACCCACAGCAGACAAGAAAAAATTGTGCTTTTTTTTTTTTTTGCTTTTTTTTTTGTGTATTTTTTTAAATGCATCCTGTACACAAAATCAAATCTATTCATGTAGCAACATGAATCACTTCATTCTTGTAGTGACTATCAAGTCATTCACTATTGCTGTCTTGCTAATGCTTGTGGAATTAATATGAATACACAGTATTTCAGTTATAATTCCCACTTCAGGTTAGTCCGGTCCCTGTAACCCCAGTAAATATTTACTGACAAACATAACAAACTACCAGCAACACTGTGGAACTCCAGGGGTTTAACACTATGTCCCACTACTGATGTGCGTTTCTCCCTTCACCTGGGAGCAACCTTCTACAGACAGAAACAGTCCAGCTCTCCTAGGGAGGGAAGGACAGTGTCCTCACCCAATATACCCATGTTTAGCACGGACACCACATTCACACACATTTAACTCCTTCATTTATTTGTCATGATTAACACCCCTCTCCTTCCCAGCAAGTACCTCCCTGCTAGAGGGGGGGGGGTGTTCAGTTCTCCTGCCTCACTTGGAGTGTTACAGGGCAGATGCAAATCAAACTCTGAAAACTTCTGTCTGAACTTGGATTTCTTTCTCATGTGGTCTGACTTGCCTCTGTACAGATAATTTACATGTAATATCACATACCAGAGAACTCTGCAAACAGATCACATCACAACATACTCTATGAGAGGTAAACAATGTGCAGAACTTGATGAGTTGGGTTTTTTCTTCTTCCCTGACTGGGTAACTTGTGAAAAAGCTATCAACCATCTGAAAACCAGGACTGGAGGACAGGAAAACAAAGCACTCTAGTGGAAATACCGCCACCTTCATCCTAGTTTGCAAAGCATACATAAGGGAAAGACAAATGGAAGGGAAGAGATGACAGCGCAGAAAGCTGTGAGAGGAGAAGTAGTCAGCCTGGATCCAGCAAGTACCGTTTTGTTTTGATCTAACAACTTGCCATTAGGACAAGATGCTCCACATTTACACACACACTTATCAGAGGACGTTTAGTTAACAGGATAAAAATCCTTTAAAAAAAGCTCTTGAAAGTACCAAAACATAATTTTTCGGAATGTCTAATTCTAGGGGGGTTTGGATTTGTATTCAATTCAACCTGAGAACTTTTTTCCCCGTTTATGAAAACATTACATCTTGGTAAGGTACCTGGCATTAACCTGCACCCTCTTTTAAAATAAAACTTTTAAAGTAGGTACATACACCATTCACAGTCTGTATCGGGAATTCTACAGACTTCAGATGCTGTGGTAGCATCTTTGATAAATACATTGTATCATATGATACAAAAGAAAAAGAGTAAGAGAGGACAATCTCGCTACATTTTTTGTTTTGCTTTTTAAACTTCAGTTTGTTGCTGGATCAAAAAGAAGGATCTACCTAATCCTTCTCAAAGATGTTGTATATGCATACACCAAGAAAACACTGGAAAAGGAAACAGGTTAAGGTTGGTGGTGGTTGTATGTTTTTTGAAGAAGTGATAAAGTATATCTGAAAAAAGGTGCAGCAGCATCCCCTTTTCCTTCAGATTAACCTCACTGCCTTAGAGTCACATCTTCTCCAGCTCCCATCGCCCCCCGCTTTTAACTTTATCGGAGTAAACCCCAATAATATAGACGGATTTAGGTGTTTGATGTTGTAATACAGTGAAAAGGGGATACTGCGTTGTCCATAAACCAGTGAGTACATCGGGAAAAAAAAGATCAGAACAGAGGATGATTCTTGTAAATTAGCACTCATCAGATTTTCGGCCTCTGATGGTACGTTGTTAGAGGGAGAAAGCTGAACGGCAGACCATCCAAAGCAAGTCTCCTAAGTTGCAGCAGCAGTTCCATCCCCTCATGCCCGAGCACCACAGTCAAACCATGAGCGCCCTCTCCTCTCTCCCGGGAATGATGCCAACGGCACAGGCAGCACTGCGGGTCTCCGAATGCACATGGTGGTTTGTGTTGAAGGAGAAACACTGGCAGCAGAGGATTCTGGTTCCCAAAAAGGTACTTTTTCCCATTGTGTTGGACTGGCAGTTCCATTCTGCTCCACTTTTAAGCTTATGGATATCTTTTCTAAATTACTTTAGGTTTTGCGGAGCAGAATAGAGTTTGGATGTTAAGAAACTGTCGGAACACAAGACTTAAGTAACAGAGTGGGTGCTGCCATGGTGCTGTGCCTACTTGAACGCTGCAAATTCTCCTGTAGAGGGAGGACAAGAGCTTGGTTTAAAAATGCAGTATCAGTTACTAGGTGGTCAGAGATCTTCTCTAGACTAGTTGAACATTAGGTTGAATATAAAAGATGTTAAAAAATGCAAACTGTTAAAATCAGAGCACAAGAGAATACACAGTGAGAGAACATCGAATACAGACCCAGCGTATTTTACTGAAAAAAAAAGGATTTCTTGAAAGCAAGCTGTACCCATTCTTCCCAAGATAGAGGTTTGAAAGTTCAAGCAAAGCCTAATTCACTATGAATTTGAAAATGTGTCAGGTTAATTTCAGTTTAAACTGCTTATTGCACACATATCCTCCTGAAAAGCATCAACTGCAATAAATGTGCCAGGCTGCAAACTCAATTTTACACCACACTAGAAATGATTTAATAACAAAGAGCTACCTGACACACCCATTAATCTTTAAAGGCTATGTACAGTAAAGTGCCTGATTAAAGCAGTATTAAAGAATGCTGGGATCTGGTTTAGAGATCAACACAGCAACCTACTGTGAGAAAAAGAATGGTGAGATTGTCTACTCAGTCCCAGACCAGAAACTAAGCCTCGCTAATAGGGAGCACAACAAATTAAAGCAAACCCTTGCTTCCTTCACAGCTACTGAATAAATAATATTCTATCCAGTGCTTTCACATGCAATGATCTCCTGAAATTCTACAGTTTATTTAGTGTCGGCATGCCATGAGGTAGACTGGTAGTCCCATTTCAGAGAAGAAGAAACAATGGCACAGAGTAAAACTGCTACCCAAAGTCTTCAGAAGTTTGCCAGCACATCGAACAGAAGCTGAACCTAAGATACTCATCATCTTATACTTCAGCCAAAAAGCTCCTCTGCCACCCACAAACAAATTCCATTTCATCAGATTTTTAGGGAGGGGTGTTCCAGTATGCTTAGCCAAAAGGACTAAGGAGCACAAGAAAAAGAAACACACATCTAACTTCCCCATGCTGGGTTTCACATGAGGTCTGGGTTAATTTATGCCCCTTTCTTGACAGCACTCCTCAGAGCTCTGCTAATAATGGAGTGCTAAGCAGACATCAGAGACCCTTTGTTCTGTTCAAGGGGCATGCTGAATGCCCTTAGATCCAAACAACTGCTCCCTACCATGCTGTCCTTCCATCCTTTCCAGAGTGAGTGTTTTGTTGGCTTTGTTGCTTTGTTTTTTCTTAAGACTCTTACTCTGATTATTGGAAACAAACCATAAACATCCCTGCAAACAGGATTTTTGGCTAATAGCATTAATTCCGTGAATGTCTTGTTCTCTAAAGAAGAGAACCAAGAGTGATCAGGAGACTGCATGAGGAGGGGGAAGAAATCCCATCTACACAGGGCCTGGCAGGAAAAGCTGATGCAGCTGATCTAAGGGAGCTTTAAGAGCAAGGAGAGGGCTCTGTGTTGTGGGAAATGAGAAGGGAGTATGCCCACAGTCTAAAATAATGGTGGCTGGCACAGGTGACTGTGATAGACCTCAAGCTCTATGTGTCTTGACAGACTGTGGTGGTAGGTTTAAGTTTTAACAACAAAAGAATAAAAGCTTTATGATGGGTTTAACTGCCCATTTTACCAGTTCTACCAACAGATGAAACCTTTGCTCTAACATACTCTGAAGTATTTGTTAATTTTTCTTGCTTCTCTGACACATTTCACCTATTTCCCAACTCTCTTCAGAGGATCTTCTAGAAACAACTCAGTTTTGGTACTTTTAAGATAAGGACAAAAAAGTCATCAAGTATTTGCCTGTGAGGCCAATTTTTAAGAATCGCATTCAGGCTTAGCTGTGCTTTCAAAACATGCTCTACTTAACTTATTTTTCAGTCTGCCTTCCTAAACTGCTGATTAAAGACCAATTTATAAACAAGAGATCACTCCCTCATTACTCATCTTGTCCTTCTGCCCATTTCTGGTAATAATTCAGCTTTTAATAGTTATACAGGGATTTCAGAAGATAAAAGATGAACCATTAATTGGGAAAGGGCAATGGAAAAACGGGATCAGAAGTCAAGAAGCATCTCAGATAAAACGGTAACTATATAAAGGTGATTTTCAGTCTTCTGTGCCATTTAAATAAAACCTTAGCAAAGACATTTTCTTTGACAAGTTAATGCTAAACCTCCACTTTCAAAATTAAGGCACTACTCTGATCTCCAATCAGGAGGAGACCAAAATATCTAATGATGGAATTATGTTGATTTAACACCTATGAGATACATTAGCAGTAATGGCTTTCCCTAGATGAAGAATGTAGATAAGATGGCTACATCCATCCACAAACAGGAATCTTCCATCTTGGGCGCTGACAGGACTTTCTGAGGAGCAGCTAAAATGCTTTGAGTCACCTTTTCTATTCTGAATATTTAAAATATTTGTAAGTTGGTTCTTTTATCTTCTGAAAGAAACTTCACCTGTAGAAGAGGGAGAGCGAGCACAGGCAACCTCTTCTTGAGACTTAGATGCACACATATAAATGAAGCAATCTGAACTGTGAATCTATGAGGACAGGAAGGTCATGCCCAGGGGAAATGAATGGATGAAATGAAGACAGCTTTAGGAACACAACCCACTATGCCCCGTCCTGCAGGATCATCCTGATTCTGCCCTGCTAAATCTTCGGGCATGGTTCTCCGACAGCCAGTGTTAATCTAAACTGGGATTATTGCAGTCCCACTCTCCCTCCTGCCCGTTGTGCCACACTGAGCACTGTGCCTCACTGGCTCTGAGGCAAGATGGCTCAAGGAGCTGATCTAGCAAATGCTAGCTTAGGTTGGTGGGAAAGGAAGAGTTTTGTAACCAGTTTTTGGATAGCTGCTCTGTTGATGGAGGGGGGAACCCACTCAACTGCGTGGAATGGACTAGTGGAATTTGCCAGTGCAAGGGTAAGGAGATGGGCCACAGCTGTTCCAAATGAGATCAGTTTAACCATGAAGCTATGAAACCACATACCTCATGATCTGTGATGTAAAAAACCCCACACATTTTCAGTCATTGTGAGCCAGGCAGCTGATGTGCTTTTTACCAAGCAGGCCTTCAGATACTTGCTTGGACTGGTAACAAAGAAATTCCTTTCCAAAGGATGAATAATAGCATTTGAAAATCTACACTTACAGAGCCCTTTCAAGTTAGTTGCTAGAATCTTCACACTTGTCACATGCAAAGCGAGTGGAATCTGCTCTAAATGCACTTTCAAAAAAAAAAAAACCTGTACTAAAAAGATGATAAAAGTTCTTTCACACTGCTTCCCAACAGTACACTGTAAGGGCATGACCTGAGTGAACCTGCTGCCCCTAATTCCTTGAGAGATTTAAGATGCAGTTACCAATCTCTACTATCACAAATTCAGAAGTTATCTGGATTCATGAGGTTACCTAGGTATATGCATGACATCTTAACTATACTCCTTATCTCCTCATCCTGGGGTATATGCCATGTTTCTCAGAATGTTAAGGGGAATGCTTCCCTTCCAGGCCTGTGCCAGCCTTATCTATCCAAGCAGAGACTTGGATAGACTTATCAAAGGGAAACACCAAATTCCAGCACCTTGCTTGGATTACATTCACAGAAAGTATGTCAAAGAGGCAATTTTTTGTTGGATCTCATGCTGACCTTCTAGTATCGATGCCATTCACTGGCTAAATAATAATTTGGAACATATTTGGATGTGGGTAATTAGTATCCTCAGACGAATATACAGCAGTACTTATGAGGATCTGGTCCTTCTAGAAGGTACCAAGACAGATTTTGTTTCTATACTGAGGTTCAGGGAAGTAAAGCAAAAAAGGAGTCTCATAAAGTATAAGCTACCCCTTCAGGGAAGCCAGGGATCCTACAGACCTGTTTTCAGGACCAACTGGTATGTGTTTCTAAATAATATAGCTGAGTAGCATCTTTGAGAACACTGACCCAAATCCACAGGTGTATTCAGGCATTTTCATCCTACATATTTTCCCAAATCTCACTGAAGCAGCAATTACAAATTACAAAAGTTAAACCCCTAAATGCCTTTATGTCAGATAAAGTTAATGATCCACAAAACCCAGCCTCCTTTTAGGCTTCATAAAGTGTTTAGTGAGAAGCTAAGATCACACTATGGTCATGGATTCCCTGGATTCCAAACCATGCTCAACATGTAAGAGCAGGTGACACAGGAGTAAATCTAATACACTGACCATACAGCAGGAAATGGGTTCAAGTGTTTCTAAGGATGGCAGCATTTTTTCCCCTGTAACTGCAGTTCCAATAGTACAGAAAAGCAATCTTAACAAGGAGGATAACACTACTCCAAGGAATAACTGGTCTGAACTCATCTGGCAGACCTGGAAAAGAGTAAGCCTGGGCAGGGCAGTGATGATGATTTTGCACTCTCTGTAACTCCCCCTGTGGTTAAGCCTTTCCTAGGTGGGATGCCAACATTTCTACATTCTGCAGAAGACCCAGCGGCACCCTCTTGCTCTTACTGGGATGGGCATTGTAGCCTGTACTGAATATCATACTTCAAACCTTAGGAAGCATTGCTCCTCACTGTCTAGAATCAAATTAATCAGTGAATAAGAGGGGAAAAGTCCCCACTTAAATTCTGCTTTCATGTTAAGAAAAGCCTGCCAAAATGAGGTGAAGCTACCAGAAAGATGGGAAACTGATTTCCTAAAACAGTAACAACCTTCATCTTCCATCACTATTTCCACAGATTTCAACATCTGCATTTTCTCAACAAACAAGATGAGAAGACAAGTTAGTTTCCCAAACTGTTCCAACAGCAGAAGCGAAGATCATTCTGATCTGGCCAGAAAACGTAGACATTACCTACGTATCTTCAAGCTCTCTAATTCTGCTCCCTGTTTTAAAAGGCTCAGTTGCCAGAAAACCAACCCTGTTTTGAATTCCTGATCTATTTCAAAAACCTATGGCTAGCAACATGCAAAATCCTATGCAAGTATGTAAATCAGAAGCCATTAGTAAGACTCCTGGCCTTTGAAGTTCTAACAAGAGCAGCAAGAGCTTGTTTCTGATGCAGAAGAATCTGTGAAAATTAATAGCTTAGCAGTTTAACACAAACAAACCCACGTAAGTGACTTCAAAATAAGCAAGAATGCAGTCAATAACATTACTGTTTTCATATCTGACATCCAAGACTGATACAACCTGAACCACCACTTTGATTCACTTGTTCCAGAGGAATGCTCCAGGGAAGAATACAATCTGTAAAGTGAGCTGACAGGACCTTGGTAAGGTGTCTAGCTTTCTCGGTTAGATATCTGGTCTAACAGATTCACTTCCAGTCAAACTGGGAACTATTACATGGAAGTGAAAAAAAACAATTCATCACTAAACAGAAGCATGTTCAGTGGTATTCTTAACAATATTAAAGTAATTTAATCCTTTCATCTTAACAGAATTCATGGTATAATACTGACTTCCATGAAAGCAACTGCTTTTTCAAATCCTCTTTTCCCATTACGGGTGTTAGCAGCCTTTTTCTCTTGAAGTATTTGGCTATGCCCAAGATTTAAAATGTTTGTGTTCTTCCTAAATTTTGAAATCTGTGCTAATTGCAGGATAGAGGCACCAGCACCAGTACTGTTCTTGCAGTTCAGCAAAAGCAGGTTCAGAATGTATTCTATGTTGCATTGTAATACAACATTTTGGGATGGTCTAAAGCACAACAGGTCAGGGTATTCAGGCAAAATTAAACATTAAGAAACCCCACACCACCACTCCTCTGCAGGAATACACGTTCTCTAAACTGCACTATTTTAAACTTCAACTTCCAAAATAAGAGTCACATTTCACTAAGGTCTTTCTTTGGATTGTGTGCTGTACCTGATCACCTCCCCTGACCACAAGAAGTTTCAACTGTGCTCAGGACTGAATGTAAGTTTATTTTCCCAGTTGCTTCCCACACATGAGTAGCATAGGAATCTAAAGCCTATTGCTCAAACATAATGACATCAACCGAAGTAAAAAAAACCGAAACCATCATAGCTTGAGTAGATTAAAATCAAATACACTCTAATTCCAATCAACAAACTGGGCAAACCAATACAGGCAAGCAAAATGACACCCAACGACCTTAAGAGGATTTTTGCTTGTTCTGAAGTGCCTTTTCCCATTTCTTTTATAATTCTTCTTGTGCCAGCTGCTCCCAGGGCAGTTGTTACCAACATGGACTCTGTGCTCAGGACATTCAATGCCCACTTTCAGGAAGAAAGTCTTCATTCCCTCAGTAAACCTTAAAAACATAGCTGGTAGGAACCGAGAGCTTACACGTGTTGCACTCACAGGAACACACCAGCACACAGACACACAGGCACATGCTTTCACACTTCTTTTCAGTGCACTGGAAACCCACCGTATCCCCCTGCTTGGATGGGTGTTTTTGGAGAAGCACAAGCATATAGACTAAAATCCTCTGTCTGGAAGCCAGCCCGGTTTAATGAGGGCTCAGATGCACTGCGGTGAATTTTTGGCAACGACCGGGCCAGAAGCTCAATGGAGGCAAGAATCTAAAACATGCAGAAAATAAGCGATCAAATCCATTGTCCAAAGCTGTAACACTCTCTTAAAACCAAAGGCAGAACATAAATTAACTACAGAAAAATATTTATAGAGACATTTAAACTGAAACATTAAAAAATAGATCACTGCATTGCGCTCTGATGTTTGATCCTGAAAAAGGCTAAAAAGGACATTTTGGGGAAAAAAAATGCCTCATTTTACCCATTTAAAGGGCATACTGCTTTCCCTCTGTAAGCATAGTGAATATAGTTGCCTTTTATTTTGCCTCCTTGTTCACGCACTAGTATCTATACCTCCCATTGCTGCAAATGAACACCGCTTTGACAGCTCGCTTAACACCATTCACCATAAAGCCAGCAGGTGGAGCTCCTTAGTTTTTGGAAAAGGTTTGGTTACACTAAGAATAAAATCCAAGGTCCCCCTCAAGCCTGTGGAGCCCAAACCTTCCCCAGCGGGCACGATAAACCAAGTTTTGTGACAACACTACCAGCTTGCCTTCACAAACCTTAGGACAGAGCAAGGAGGGTGGTATAAAGATTTCTGAGAACATACACCTAGCTGCAATTTGTGTGTCTAATTGTGGTTATTAATTTGACTGTCTCCCTGTTGAAACTTTCTCCAACACAAACACTTTTCCAACCACACAGGTCACTTTAATACCTGCTTTCTGAATTCAAAAGAAACATTTTTATGAAGTTATGCTACAGCACTGATCAATGAGATTCTGAATTGGCCAGTGAGTTCATAACTGATCTTTAATTTCAATAGTTGAGTTCTATAGTCTACTGAGAGCTAAAGAGGTACATTTCTCACCTGTGGAAAAAGGGGTCTCTCATCTCTTTTCTTTTTTAAGCATTCTGCCATTAGTCTTTTCATAGCTTTTGGACAGTTGCTCCTTACTTTGCTGAGGTCTGGAGACAGGTATCCTCGTCCCACCATAAAAATTATCTTTATTTAAGGGAAGAAGAGATGAAAGGAGAAGAAGACAAGTCCATAAAACAACAGTTACAAAAAATTAACATTTTGCTAGACCACTTTGATCCCAGCAGCAAGTTTTCTGCTCCCAGGAAACACTGTCTGGTGCTGAAATTGCCAAATTTCTTGGAGTTATGCTTGCTAAACCTATTCAGTATGGAGAAAAAAATTAGATTTCTTCCTCCTCCTCCTCCAAGGAGAGATTTCGGTGGAACTTGAACACTAGTAGATGGTTACCATTTATAGCAATAACCATCTAAGGAGCGGTCCTTCAGTGTCAAAAACTGTTACAAAAACAAGAATAAGCAACTCTGTGGCAGGAACAGAATGCCTAAAAATAAATATTCTGTTTTATAAGTCAACAACAAGTTCGCATGGAAAGGCATTTTAAAAACACACAGACTTCAAATATTAAGAACCCTTACCTTTTGAGAATAAATTTCATCATCTACTTTTCCACCACAAAAGATTATTCTTGCCTCTGACCACCTTCCCCCCCCCCCCCCCCCCAAAACCACAAAAGAAAAAGAGAAACTGTGTCCTCTGTATAAGAGGAGACAGACAGACTTTGTATTTTTACAGTAATTCCTTTAACATGGAAGTCTTATATTTCACCTAAGGATGGTTAATCATAGAACAAAGTAAACTAATAGAAAGCAGGAAAGCAGATCATTAAATATGGTTACTGTTCTCTTGGATATATAAAAATATACCATCAAACATCATCATGTCAAGCCAATGTCAAATGCAGTGTGGTGAGTACTGCAGTTGTGCTGACACTAAAAACCCCTTTCAAACTAGCTAATCAAAGCTCCATTCATGCTGCCACAGATAATCACTACCTTTTCTGAATACTCAGACAGACCCAGCAGGTGTATCATACTTTATATTCAATGAAGTGTAACTATTTTGTATCTGGACACTGGCAAAAACAACAGAAAACCTGCACACCTCATGCAAGCTATACATTTTATTTGTACTAACACAATCCTGGTGCCTTTTCAACTTTCTGATTCAGTTGCATCTGTGCTGGCATCAAGGAGATTAAAACTCCCATATGGTTTCTTTAGAAATCTCCATGTGCCAGAGCAGCATTTCGTAGTAAAGACTTGTCTACCCCATCCCTTACCACGGCTGCAATGAGAGTTATCATCTAAAAATTACTTTTCTCTAAATAGTTACACTACTTAAGTAGAAATTATTAAAAATTCATTATTATCTATGTTTCCAACACTCTTTACCAATAATGCAGGGATTAAACTTTTATTCTAACTGGAGAAAAGAAAGTATCACTAAAAGAACAGCCCTGGTCTGCCTAGAAAAATCTTTTAAGGTGAGAGAAACAAGAAGGATGCTTTGCTCACAAAGAATCCCAGTTGTGCCATAGTAGCTGATGTAGATGCACCAGAGAGTGAGCAGTACTTTCATCTTCTCAGACAATCAACTGGGTGTGACAAAACTTAGATTAGATTACATTTTATATGTTGGTTTCACTTGCAGTTTGACTTGCAGTTGGCTTCACTTGCTTTAGCACTCAATTGTTAGCACCCACATCACTGGATTCGTCTTTCAAATCTCAAAAGGTAAAACCAGAACAATGCCCTAATACTGCTTTTGGAGGATAATATCCATCTGGCCAGGAATCTGGATATTTCCCATCTTCCAAACAGCAAACCCAATTAAAAATAAAAATACTTAAAAAAGAGTCACTCCCAATTTGATGAATTGGAAGTGTTCTGACAGATATGGAAGCAGCCTTATAAAATGGCATTCACAGATGAACGTTGCTATGGTTGCAATTCTCAAGTACTGACAGTGAAAAAACAAGAGATGTGGACACAGAAACAACATAAATATAACACCACCCAGACACTGAATAGTTTACACCAAAGATCTTGATGCACAGATACTATTTTCAGATTAGACAGAGAAATAATGAATCAGATGTGGCTTCACAAACGTGCCTATCCTGTGGAGATACATGACAGGCATGTGGTATCATCAGACTTAAGGAATATTTGTTCACAATTAAGAAATCTTCTTAGAGAATTCACACACTCTGCAAACTCCATCTAGCAGGATTTGAGAAATACTGGTAGCCTGAAATTCAGTTAGATGGTGCATGCGTTCCTCACAATCAAAATGAATATAAAAACCCCAGAAAGACTACTGCTGTTCCATTTTGTCAATCCTATTGCTGAACTATTATTCAACGCAAGGGAGGGAGGAGAGAGGAATAACTCAACATATGGAGGATCATTTTGCCTTTGCAAACCGGATTACTATTAAGTAACCTGCTCTCTCCCTAATAAGTATCCTGGCAACCAGCTCAGAAGCTGAAAATCTATACTTGAAGTAGAAAAGAACAAAAAAAAAAAAAACCCAAAAAACCCCTCTAGTGAAGTGAATTGATGCTACATGGCTGAGGCAGACCTAGAAAATTTAGAAATGCCATCTCATAACATCAGAAACACAAATCAAACACACACAGAACATCAGAAATGCAAATCAAACACACAAACCATCATAACGCATGCTCCACAAGGCTGAATCTATCTCTGTTTCAGGCCACAGATGACTGAAGTCACTCCCTTTCCTTACCTGGTCCCTGTTGTTGATGTTTGAGTATGGTAACTGTCCAGTCATCAATTCATAAAGAACAATCCCAAATGCATACACGTCCGACTGAAAGCTGTATGGGTTTTTATCTTGCATCCTAATAACTTCTGGTGCCTGTATCAGAAAAGGAAAGAATTAGTTTTTATTTCACCATGTCAGGCTGCACCTCACATGCCAGGAACAAAACACGGACTTGTCCAAAATATAACAGTGCAAATGCCACTCTTGCCTTCAGATGTTACTGGGTCCTAATAGTGGATGTTACTACGAACCTCAAAGTCCACTGGTTTGTTTTAGCTTGGTGATACTTTTATTTATACAGAATTACCTTGTTCGGGCAAAGAAGCTACTTTGAAACTAGATTATAACAACACTGAAAATAATGTCCAATAACAGACCCTTCAGGGTTTTTTGGGGGAGAAAAAAGCACAGCTGCATAGGAGGGTGCAACTACACTTCTTAAGACTTTAGCAAGTTGTACAGTCTCTTGAGAGAAACTATACTTGAATGCTTAAAACTTAAAGAGCACCTTCCTTTTGGTTCTGCTCCTTTGTGGGACATTTTCCATGGCTTTTCTCACCTTCTCGACCCAGGATTAATCATACCCTTTTTCCTCAGCCATCATTTTATTTTCAGTTTAAATCCCAAAGTAAAGGATGAAGACACTAAGGTTTTTTTGCTGACTGCTGGAAAACATGTGCTTAAAGAAGAACTAAAAGGTATTCATTTAGTAATTCATATTACTGCTTGTCTTTTGCAGCTTAAGGCAGTTTGCACATGTCAGTGTGCTGGAGGGGTAGTCTTAGAAACTTTTGACAAAGGCAACTAAATTTGTTGAAACACACTCACTACTTCCCCTTGCTTACCATCCATAGAATAGATCCAGACAACTGTTCAAACTGATGGGATCCACTCCATCGTGATTTCACTGTAGCTAGACCAAAGTCACCTATTTTTACTGTGAGGTCTTCATGAAGAAATATATCTAAGGGGTAAATGTTAAGGGAAAACAAACAAGTGGTACTGGTCCTGTTCTACAAGAACAATAATCAGCTACACATGTGCAACATTAGACGTAACAGTTTTAACTATTCACCATCATTAAAGAAGATTTTCATATAATACAAGTTCTATGCAGTCAGCATGGTGAATTATGCTATTTAAGAGTTACAGAAGTAACAACTGGGCCACTGCTGAAAGGACCATGGTCCAGGCAGCTTTCTTGAAATGCCATATACAAGAAAAGCCAAAAATATCCCATGATCAAATTAGTGTAATCTTTCATTGCATGCAGAAACCAAATGATACAAAAATGTTCCTGATACCACAACAAAACTTCCTACATTATGGCAATCGCATCAATAGACACAGTAAGTATTGCTTACTTTGTTACTAGTGATATTACCCCTTCTCAGTGTAATTTCAACTCAGGAAATACTCACACATGAGCAACATTTTACATCAGTAAGGTATTTTCTGACAGAAAAAAGCAAAGCAAAAAGCAAAACACCCCCCCCCCCCCCCAAAAAAAAAAAAAAAAAGGGAATGCTGTCATGTTCCACAATCACATCTCTGGGAAAGGATACTATTACTCTTGAGGTCTCTGTGGATGATTGACTTGGCATGCAAATAACTGAAACGGAACATCATAGATTAGGTGGGTTAAATGATATTTCACTAATCAAAAACTCAAACTCCACTCTATTACTGAAACACGAATTCTGTAGATATTCAAAATGCACATATTTATTAACGTAAAACTGCAGTAAAAGTTTACAAACTAAAGCTTACGTTTCCAGCTCAAACCTGATGCTACCAAATTCTGCTTTTCAGTTCTAACTGAAATATTCTGAAATATTCTAACTGAAATATTCAGAATAAAAGAACTTCAGTAGTTTTTGACACGCCATTCTGTGTTGCAGGTTCTGCCCCCAGGCCCTAATAGTGACTGTTAAAGACTGACACAGCTTTACATAAGGTGTTTCTAAATTGCATGAACTAAATGTGCTTCCTAGTCCCAGCGTGTACTCAAAGTATGCTGTCTGCCTTCTAGCATGGGACTGGGAAAAAAGATCCCTTGATTGCAGACTGGATAAATAAATTGCAGTGAACACAGAGAAGAGTACTTGCCCCACAGCATAGATATAGCCTCAATTAGGCAACTAGCCTTCTGTGACTCTTCGTTTAGTTAATGAGATTGGCACAAACTTGTTGGAAAAGCCCCAGTTTATGTCTCTGATTTGAATTACACTCACAAACCAGCTTCTGCATTTCTACTGCCTACAAAGGGAGCCTGGGAAGATGAGCAGGCTAGCAGAAGACTCAGGCTGGCTGCTGCAAACACCTCCCCATCTCTTGATTAAAAACATAATAGAATACTTAGTAGAAAAAAATGGCCTGATGAACTGCAATCATCATAGTGGTTTTCCAGATGGAGGGCAATTTCTCTGGTCTTACATCATTTCCTGATTTTGGCACACAATATTGGGCTAGTTTTGTACATTCTAACTCAACTCATTTGCCCTCTTATAAGAATAAGGATTATTTACAGTGCTTAGAACAAAATAGGTATGTTTTTTTCAAATGCTGAAATCTATTATCTACAGAGTTACAATACTTAACAGCAGAAAAGAAAAAATTGATTCTTTTTGCTATCAGGGCTGTCTGCTTTCTGTACTATCTTATAGGATTACATCCTATTGTTCACAGGGTGTTTCTTTTTAAAGTATGTTTTACCTCCTACCATAAGACTATCTGCACTGTCAAGACCAATCATAAAGCTTGGAACATGAATACCTGCTCCAAAGATTGAAAGGTTAACTGAACTAAAATTATCTTTATTCTCCTATTTAAGACTGTATTTCCTTCATGATTCGTAATTCCCTATGTTCAAAAAAACCAGAACACAGTCTACTTAACTAATAAAAATAATAAGCACTTCACCAAACACTCTGATCATCAAGGCAGGACCCTGGGCTTGGCTAAGTGGGTAGTTAGTTGGCCTTCTTTGCCAACGTCAGTCAGTGTGAAGGGAGTAAGTAAACACTGCCCCAACACTTACTTGCAAACAAGTAATACAATACTTACTCCATGCCTTGTGCAGTCTGTCGTGCAATATCAATTAGTTTGATCATTTCAAATTTGGTCTCAATGATGTGCAGATGGTGATATAAGCTGGACCCCTCACACCATTGTGTAACTATAGCCAACTGGGGTTTTGTTGAATAACCCATGAAAAGCAGGATATTCACATGTCGTGTTTTCCTGTTAAAATAGGAAAAAAAAAAGGTCAGGAGGAAGTCAGACATATCAGGTAATAAGGATAAAGTCAGGCAGATCTATCAACATCTAAATACATATTTCCAAACAGAAATCGTTGGCTCAAGCTCTACTAAGATAACAGGGTAACTTGTTGCTAGATTCAGTGTAATGAATTATTCCAGCAGTCAGCCTTTCTGACAATGACACAGAAAGCTATTCCAGGGTAAGTGCTGCGTCTGCAAGCGACCCAGCACAAGACTGCTCAAAAGATGCTGTTACCACTAGGTCCCCATGGGACAGCAACAGTTTGCAGACAGGTCTGCTTTTGTGTAACTCCAGTCCAGCTAGGAGATGTTGCTTCCCATTAGGAGGACATCCAAAATGGAATTCTATTCTCAGAGGCTTCCAGGAAGGACAATGCTTATCAACACACCCCAGAAAGTCTCTACTTCCAAACTATGAGCTTAGATTTGTTTCAGACATAACATTTCCTGGGGGAAAAAAGCTGATCATCTCCTGTTCGCCATGTAGCTTATTGGGGATAGTCCTTCAGCACATGTGCCTGGCTCAGCCTCCTTTCTATTTTATTTCTTGAACTGATTTATGCTTGAGACTGCTCAAGACTGTCCTTAGATACTGATGGTCATCCCCAATAAATATTCTATTGTATCGTACTGATGGATCCTTTTAAGAAATGAACCCAAGATAAAGACTTCCTCTGAGAAAGTACAAATAGTACACAGGAGAAAAGGATACCACAAAGTGATTTTTGAGAAATACATTTAAAAAAAACCCCAAAACTCAAAAGAGAAGTCAATGCCACTGAACATAAACTACTAAACAATGAATAACAGGGGCAGCAGTTAGCTCAAAACAATTAGTCATGCTCTCCTTCAGTCTCAAAATATGGATGAGAGGAAAGGAAGGCCTACGATTCACACTAAGGCTTGACAGTGCCCTGGTATAGTACAATAGCTAAAACCAGTCCTGTCTTGAGTATTTGGACATGCACATATTCACAACATAGATGTATAGACAAACGTGCAGGGGAAAGAAGAACTAGCAGTACATACAGAGAAATATTTTTAAATGGCAAGCTACAGTCTTTGCCCAAACTATTATCATGGAGGAAAAAGACCAATGTGTTTTAATGGAGATCAAAAATTCAGTAATTAATGAAGTCTAAATCTACACACATTATTTTATGCCATTAAAAGTATTCTTACCTGAGCACTCCTACTTCATTTTTGAAAGCCTGTAACTGTTGAGGTGTGGGTGCTGTAACATTCAACATTTTCACTGCCACATCACCTTTAAGACAGCAAGTTTTAATAAGTGTCATTGATAAATATTGTTCAATTGAGAAAATCTATATAGAGCATCAATAATACTGAGATACCCTATTTTCTAGCTTTTGTGAAATAACCCACTACAATATTAAGGTAAGTACATATGCTGTAAAATGTATAAACACTATTCCTAGTTTACTCTGAGAAATTCTCACCAAGTCAAAGCTTTGTAAATACACATTTAAAATCATTCATCAAGATGGACACTTTAGTCTTTCTAGTAACTGTGTTTCATCTTGACCCTAATAATTAATTAATTCAGAAGAACATGCAAGTGTTGAGCTTTTAAACAGTCTGAAGTTCTAACATTACCTACACACTTACTAATTTCAAAGTCACCTTTATGGCTCTTCAATGAACTCTCTCCAGTATGTCCATGTCTCCCATACTGAGGAGCCCAGAACTCGGACCAGCACTCCAGATGTCACCTCACCAGTACTGAGAGGAAGGATGAACTCCCTTGACCTGCTGGCAATGCTTTGCTAATGCAGCCCAGGATATGATCAGCCTTCTTTGTGGCACGGGCACACTGCTGGACCATGTTTAACTTGATGGCCACCAGAATCCCCAAGTGCTTTCCTGTGAAGCTGCCTTCCAGCAGGAACTGTTACTTGCTTAAAAACTGTTTGCCATGATGGCCACATACCATGCCATTTTCCTTTGTAGACTGTTCCAAATGATCCAGATCCTATCCTTTGCCCAACTGTGATCTGTCCATCTGGTATCTCCCAATCATCACTTGAATCCCGTCGACCAAGAGTTTTCTTTATAGATAGATATAAAAAATAAGAAGGAAGAAAGCAAGGGCATTAATATCTGTGAAAACAGTTCCTTTGTTAAAGACTTAGTATAAGCATTTTGTATCTCTAAAGTCTTAAAAAGAACTTTCTTTTTTCAGATACCACATTTGACTTTTCAAGCCAAGCATACACAAAACCTCAGCATGCAGGTATACTAAATTATTACCTGGCATGAAATATTTGTCATAGGTTTCTGGCTGTGTTAAAACCAGTAAATGTTAAGAAAATCAAACTCAAAAAGAAAGTCTCAATTATAATGGTAAATTGTGAATTAAAAAAAAAAAAAAATATGCAGACATTTTAATGTGTTACTAGATTTGAAAATTACCAGAGAACTTTTAAAGTTCATGAATCATGGTGGGAAAAGTTAAGCTGTTACTTGAAGGCAAACTGGCATTATAATACAAAACACACCAAGACATTTGGGTGCAATGGAGTAACAGTGAGTATAGCCAGTTATTTTATATATCAGTCCCACAATTTCAATATTCCATTATATATCAGTTTAAAGCCCTTGATCATTACCATACTCATCTTCCAAATAATTCAGAAGGTTTTGACATAAGAGTGAGAGGAACATGGTTGTGTAGTATTTCTACAGAATGAATATACTACAAATGAAAACAGCTCATCTCTCCCTTACCATTCTATTTCTGTCTTCTGAGGATGAGGATGATTTCCTTTCCCGCTGGGGTCCTGGTGATTTCTGTAACGCTTTCACATTGGTGAGTGACCCAGGCAAAGAGGCAGGAGGTGTTGCAGACAAACCTGCAGCTGAACCTAAATTTCAGAAACAGGATAATTTTATCTATAAGAAGCCAGCTTATTGATACTAGGTGCAAGAACTGTGTTTAAGATGCAGTCTCTCCAAACATCAATGTAAATGTCACAAGGAAACAAACATATACTAGAAATATTCTCCTATTATTAGATTAGTGATCAAGTCTTAGATTTCAGGAGAAGTCTGTATCAGATATCCCTGTTTACCAGATAGTCCCCAGTCTCTTGTTCATGAACTACCAGAAGGACAACATCTTTTTAAATAAAGGAGAAAAAAAATAAAACAACCCCTCAAAAATGTATTTTTTTAATTCCACCAGTTTCTTTGTGAAGAAAAGTAATAGCAATTTAGTTAGCAGCAGCTACCTCTCAGATTTCTTGTAGCTAACCTTTTAGGGACCCACTAAATAGCTGAAATGCTGTACTTTGGAATCAAAATAGACTAAATGCAAAAAAAAAAAAAAAAAAATTAAATGTTTTCTAGCTGAGTCTCCAAGTGCCACCTGAAAAACCATTTGGCTGTTTTAAAGCTATCTGTTAGCAGAGTGCTCTTTTTAAAAAGTAAATCATAGAAAGGATTAAAAAAGAACAAGTACTTTAGTTAGCTATTTGTAGCATATTCTATTAAATACAAAAAAGAACAGTACATCTGTAGCCAACATGTTATCTAAACAAATCTATGCAGGAAAATGTCACCAGCAGAGCTGTGTTTCAGAGCCCCAATGGCTCTTTACAAATAGAGCCCTTCAACTAGATACTGCTTTTTAAAATACACCCTAATTATTTGTAACAAGGTTATGGTGACCCTCCCAATGTGAAGGACATAAAACAGGGTCAACTGTTAATTAAATTCATGCTGCTCTGCAAAACAATTTATGTCACTGTACCAGACCTCCAACATTCCAATGCTTTCTCTCACATCAGTGTTCTGGGAAGTGGTAGAACACAGTACTCCTCAAATTCCTTCAGCAGCAACCTTTTTACCAAAAAAGCGTCTCCTAATGCCAACTTGGGCTCAAAATCTGATTTTATGACTGTTGCTCAAGTTCAGTCACTCAGTGCGTGCTAATTTATCAGGCTACATATATCCATCACTGCCTGTCCTCAGACCTAAAATCTATACATTTAGAAGTGGAAGCACAAAATAATGACATACTGACACATCAAAAAGGGGACGCAACATCCATAAACCTTGTCCCATATGCTGAAGCAACAATAATGATTCATAGTGGGCATCCTAACTACATATTACAAGGAGCTGGAAACCAGTCACCTGAAGGATGGACTTCTGTTCATATTCATGTTATGGTCATTATACTGTCATATATTTATTATATTGTCTGAAATCACATATATATAGAATTAAATGTTCCCAGAACATGACCTATTTTCCAAAAGTTTACTGGGTTACACTTTCTCTGCAATAGCAAAGCTCTACTAGAATGTGTTTTCTTTAGAGGTAACTAAATTCTCCTATTTCACCAATGCCACTAGCACAATATTCACCCTTCACCAAAAATGCTTACAGCACATGGTAGAACATTACAGTTAATCTGTCCATAATAATACCAGATGGCCTGTTTTCCAAGTTATTAGAGTAGAATACTTCAGATAATATTAGACTTAAGTCATTAGCTTGGACTCTGAAGCTGTACATAACATATTCCATTCTGTAGCCAGTTTGCTTGTTGGGAACACCTGTCTTCTTACACATACCGGAAGAACTTTACAAGTTCATAAGGTGAACTGCTCTTGATATATTCTGAAACAAAAGTCTTTGAAACAGCCAAGATGGTAGCGTTTAAAAACAATACTACATGCACTGAACTATCCATTCCTACATGTATACATATAGACACAAATATTTACAGTTCATGCTATTACTCAACAGGTGGTTTCTCCAGCATATGCAATCCCACAGAGTTTTAGGGGATTTTGTGCAATACAACAGATCCATTGACAGCTTTAGGCCTGAATTACCTCCAGAGTCAATGACGTGAAAATGGAAGAGTCTTATTTTACATGGTACAGGACACAAAACAAATACTGTTTCACTGGAAGTTTACTAAATAAAAAGTGCATGGTCTAAACCATCTAGGGCCCCAATGTGGTATCAAGAGCACATTCACAAAGTGAAGTATTTGTTGAAAGCTGGCATGCACATTATTTGAAAAGCTTGAGACCTAACAAGATATCAATGGAAATGTTTGTAACTCACATCTGATTTCCTAGATTGCTTTTCAAGACAAATAATATTAAATATAGAAAACTGTTAAAGCACTGAACTGACTTAAACTGAACAGTCAAGGAAATTCTAAGTTAAGGACATCACTTTGTCTTTAAAATCACTGCAATGCAATCTAAGGACCTCTGTTTAGTAAAGTTATGCTGAGGTCCACATAAAAACCTCAACTATGAAATTCCTTGCCTTTGAAGATTTAAGTCAGACTTCATTTATAGTCATTTTCAAGCGTGTAAAGGTGAAAGTGGGTATGTGTGAAAAGCACATTCAAAGCAATCCAGCCAGGCCAAGCAAAAAAAAAACAGAGGTGTTTTGATAAACTCACACACTTACATACACACAGTGTGAGGGTGAGGCACAAACAGCATCTGTGGTTTTACTTATTTTGTTTGGGTGAAAACAAGAAAGAAGAGCCCAACTACCTCTGAACACTGGGCCAGGCTCAAAATCAAACACTATTTCACTGGGGACAGAATGAAGGAGGGGACTGGGAGTCCGGGATTGGTATTTCCGAAGACAGCGCATCAGCTGGTTCAAAGGGGCTGTTAGAGAGAAAGAGACGGGCAGGCAGAGACAGAAAGACAGACACATAGAAGAAATGAAAGAAGTCATGGGAAATAACTAGGATGCTTTGACTCCTATGCATAGATTGCTTCTGTACTTTGAAGGGATGAAAAAAAAGTCAATTACTAATAACACTGTTACAGGACTGGGAAGAGCCAATTGTTCTCAGATGCCAAGCAGACAGTTTATGATCAGAAGTTAAAATCAACATGATAGCACAACATTTAAATGTTGGACAAAATGGGCAAAACTGTGGAGTGCCACACCTACTGACACATACAAAAATAGCTAAATCTGGCAACTTTAAATTAGTAGGCTTGCAGGAATAAAGGAAATTTCTTTTTAAAGAGCATTCTATTGCTGGCATAAGAAAAAATAGCTCCATCAAACACAACACAGTAGGTAGGTGCTGTCCTACTAACTACCAGATTTGGATGGGAGACACGAAGTCAGTAATAGCCCACAGTATAAGACCTTAATGATCACAATAGAGTGCACTAACATAATTCAGACTTTGCTCATGGCTGAAGCAAGTTATGAGCTGACTGTGTTAATGATTTGGAGTTAAAAAAGCTGTCATATGCCAGCCCGACTATTTTTTTATTGCTACATTATTATTATATTCATAGGAATAAACATCACACACAAGAGGACCTTAACAGCCAGTGAGAGAAATGACTTAACAGGCCTGTGCATAACACATGAAGAAAAAGAAATCTTTCGGCAGTAGTTCTGACTTTACTGTGAATCAGGGTTGTGTGTTACTGAAGAAAACATAAAAAGACCTGGCTTTAGTGTAAGGTCCTAACAACCTGGTTCCAAGAGTAGCACAGGCATGCAGTACAGCAAAGCAGCATCTTCAGCAGGGGTAGAGGGGGAGAAGAACTGGAGTTATTTCACGCTGCTTTAGGATGCAGCAGCTCGTATGGAAGGTCCATCTACCACGTTGATGGTTTTCTATGAAAACCTCTGTTGTTTCCATGGGTGGAAAGGTAACAACAGGCATAAAAACACCTTTGAGAGTTGGGAAGTTGCAGCATATCTGTGTGCAGCCATGTGAGTGAATGAGTGTGTGTGTAAGAGAGCAAAAAAGTGATGGTGCAAGGTAATTTTAAAACTAAAAAAATAGATACCACTTCAAAACTTTTTCTCCTTCCGTCTCCCCCACTCCCAAAATGACCAGCAAATGACTCGAACCTTTGTCAGACATATATTAAGTTCATGGACAAGCAAATGCAAATTCATTTTTTGTCCTAATCATATTTTCCTTTGTGCCTGTGTTTTGTTGAAGGAAGTAGAACAAAAAGAAGGGATGGAGGAGTTGTGTAATTAAATATAGCACAGTAGCTAGTTTAAACACTACTTACCTCCCTCTCCTCGTAAACCCTGGTCTCTTATCAAGTCCTATAAATAATAATAAAAAAAGTGTGTTTAATTTAGGTATTATTTTTTCATTTACATTCCAGAATCAATTGAGACTGATCAAATTGAGAATTCATAACCTCGTATGTTGCATATGAAATGTTATTTCCCACCATGGCTTACTAACAGCAGCAACTCCAAAGAACTATTTATAACAACTACTATACGTTTCAAAATTAGTTGCTTTAAAACAGCATCTCTCAGTAGTAAAGCGAAACGTACAGCTCCCAAAATAGACGCTGACAAGAAGATATTGATTTAAACACTCAGCTGGCCAAAACACAAAGAAATATTGAACCAAGCGTTCTCGTTAGTGTTTGTGGCACAAACGATTTGAACTGTCATATCAGGAGCTGGGACACCAATTTCCAAGGTGCATCAGTCAAATTTTTCTGCTTCATTTTTTTCTTATAACAAATCACCTCATTTGCATAGCCAGGCGCACACTGTTCTCGGAAATGATTAACTGCAAAATGTTTCCTTCACTTGCAATCCAGTGAACTGAGAGCATGCAAACTACACTACAGATTTCCTAAAGAGAAGAAGAAAATACTAGCAGTTTCCCTCCTTATTTCAATTTCATCAGCAAGTTTTGTTTTTTTTTTTGGTTACACAAGTATTTTTTTCCCTTATACACCTGCACTGCTGCTGAAAGCACTGGTCCTGCCTCTCAGATGCACCACTGCCATATACCATATACAAATGTCTACGCGACCACATTCTTAACACTCAACTAGCATTTCACTTATCACTCAGCTCACATGCAAAACATTTTGGGCCTCAGTGTCCAGGCAGACTTCAAGACTGCTCACCTGACAAATGACTAATTTCTAGAGAATAGGCTTAAGGCGCATACGAGCTATATACAGTGGCAAAATTAAAGAGAGGTTGTTGTGACCAACATTTTGAAAGGTCTAAGCTGGCCTTATACCTAATATCAACCATTAGTATAATTTATGATTCATTGTCCAGAAATTTCAAAAATGCAGAAAATAAATTAATTGTAACAGCTTCTGAACACTCCAAAAGAACTCTCAGAACAATATATACTGAGCTTTTGAAAGACTAAGGAACATTCTGTAAATTTGAACTCAGCCTGCTGCAATGATTTAATATTCTTCAATGCCAGAAATATTACTGAACTACAAATAATAAAAATCCTTATTCTGTGTATAAAGAAATATGCCTAACATACAGAATGGTTTGCAAGAGTGGTTACTGGCTTTCATACTCTTAACACTAGGGTACAGCTAGCAGCATGAGCCTTGGGACTAATGACAAAAATTAGCAGTGGTTTGTGACAGAATGCTTCTTTGAATGAAAGGACAGGACTGTCAGAAGGCAGTTTCTGCTCCTGGAGGATGAGTTATTTGGGTTCTTACAGCTCTCAATGGCAAAAATATCTTACATGGGATCTATTAGATTCTGACAGACTGCTAAGGATTAGCTTAATGTACACATGGTAAATTTCACACACTGGTAGTCATAAGGGAAACATCAAATCTACTATTCCTATTCAACCATTATCAATACTTACATCAATATTGACTGGCTCGATTGTATTGATGTGAACATTGGGAGCTGAAGAGGATCGGTCACGTTGCCCAAATTGATTCCGATGGTCTTCATCTGCTGGTCGGAGGGGCTGTGGGATTGGAATGGATTTTGAAGGAGAAGGACTAGGGAGAATTGGTGGTCTGAGAAACAAAGTCAAGGAAAAAGAGGATTTAGGTCTACAAATGGCTTCAAATACTGCATAGTGGGTGTGGTAAGTCCTTTTCAACTATTATAATACATACATTAAAAAAAACTCTGATCTAAAGACCTACATAAAACAATTTATAATGAACAATCTTGCAACAACTCTCTAAAAAAACTACCTAATTAGTCAGATGTGTTCAGAGTTAAAACAAAATGAAAACCCACTACCATGCCATACCAAATGAATAATAAATCCTGATCTGAAAAATGCATGTAGCCCAACATGCACTGCAGAAAGCAAGATACTCTGCAGTTTCCTCACTTGAGACTTAATGAAGTTAACTCTTTAATGGCAACCTACTGAGAACTAAAAGCACTTAACATCTCACATCAGTATTACTGTCAGAAGATGTCACAAATTGTACGGATGAGATCATTGTTCAATGAAGAAAGACTGAGAATTACATACTGGTTACTGAAAATAACTGATTAATATTATGGCCAGTGTAACACAAATTATTGATACTAAAAATAAACAGATCACCCCTTAACCTCAACCCCTTAATATAACTTTGGTGCAAAATTTCAAATGTCATTTAGTGCTACAGTCAGGCAACAGAATAGTTTTGCCTTGAAAAATTAGCATTCAGACTATACAGACAACCTTTCTGAAGAAATGTAAATGCTGCTGGTCATAAAGTCTTTAATTTATGGTATCATGAATCGTATATTTAAAAGACAAACATCTAAACTCTTGCTTTTTCATTTGTATGAATATAATTTCTTTGGTTATCCACTTGTTCTGTCAAAGTACAATATATCAGCATTTAGCTCTTACTCAAGTCAAGGGCAGACACTAGTAAGTCTAATTTAACAGATTTAAGGCAAAAGGTCAATCAGAAACATTTGCCACCTTTGGCAGTGAAAACTTTATGTTAAAACATACATGATACTTGACAAGGTTTTTAGAACTGACAGAAAACACAACTTGTGAGAGAGGAGTGGCATCCTCCAGGTACTCAATTACTCATGGGTTAGTTACCATGCGCACAAAGGCTATGCCCACAGGGAGAAGCTTCAGAAATAAGCCACAGAGCAGCATACAGCAGCAACAGGTCCTGGTGCCGCCTCCTGTAAATGAACACTCCTTGGCCCCTCCAAAGAGGGCATCTAACATTTTCAACAGTCTCTCTTCATATTTTCTCAGAAACAGGTCTGCCTTAAAGACTATTACCCTACCTTTCATTGAGGAGTTTACAGATTGGCACTGGTCCCAGAACTCAGTGCTATCTGTATCCTAAGTGCCTGTCATCTTTTCCTTCCTGGCCAAAAGCCTCACAATTGAGAACAGCAAAACAGAGCGCTTGCAAATTCAAGTAACAATATAGTAACTCTCATAATAAAATACTTAAATTATGTTTTAAGTGGGGCACAGGAAGGGGGGGTTGTCCCTGCTAAACTTAAAAATAAAATATTACCTATTGTTACATGACAATATAAACATTGGGAAGACACGGGGAAGCAATGAGCTAAAACTGCCGATAGACACATCTCTGAGAAAAGACCTTAAACAGCCCAGCATTTCAGAAGATGCTCAGAATTTCAGAGACGTTTTTAAATGCAGGTGATGTACATATACATAAGCTTTCATCCACTGCTAACAAGTGTCTTTGGGTAATTTTCTACTGTAGATAAGGAATTTTTGAACTCCTGGACATTTTTGTAGGAAATCATGCATCTGGAATCCACCTAAGGAGATGGGACACTGCACAGATACAAGTGCAGCACTTGGTTGACGTTCTAATGCACTGCATTTACATGCAAAGGCAGGCATGTCAGGTGCTGCACAGAAAGATTTAAAGCTTAAAAATGTCTCAGCCAGGCCAGTACTGTCACTGTGATAGCTAACGCCTGCTCAAACTTCATGAGAATTCTCAGTAAGAATGGAATGAAGGGCAATATGTAACCACAGACATCAGACCATTGCACTAGGAGTGACCACAATACAGCATTTGAGCTCTGCCACACTATGAGAATAGAAGCAATCAGATTTTCTGTGATTACAAGTAAGCCAAGGGAGAGAAAACCAAATTGCAGAACTACTGTTTCAGTTACATCCTCCTTTGAGTCATAAATGGTCATCCGCTAAGGGAATCTACAAATAGTTCTGTATTTCTGCTTACAGGTCATCATGCCCATCATGTTGCTAGCAGACAGCATGCTATGTCACACCACATCTAAAACCAATTTGAATATCTTTTTCTACTCATTAAATTCTAACTGGGGGAAGTGCAGATCTTTCAAAAACAATTACAGGCTGACAAAGACCCCTTTTGGAGTATCTCTGGGCTTTAGACAACAAAGAATCCAGAGATGGGAACCTCATAAACAGTTAGCCATCTACTCCAGCTATATACAATCAGAATTTCATTAATGGGTGTCCTTGGGACACTTAAGAAAGGTAAGCTATTTTTGCTAAGTGGGGATTTTGCTTGAAAAAGGTAACTAGTGAAGAGAAACACAACAGCAGCTTGCTGGCCAAGATGACCTACTGAGATCACAAGCTTGAGGAGCAATTACCACCAGCCTCTGCCAGAAATAAAAACTAAGAATCAACAGGACTAGAACATAACTCCTGCAAAGAACTGCTTACAGTTGTAACAAGCTGGGGCTTAAAGAAGCAGCAGTTTAAATACCAGGATCTGAGTTCCTGGTGCTCCTGTGGCCCTTCTGAGCAGTTAACAGGCAAATGCTAGCTAGAGGAGACCTTCTATAAAGGTCAATACACAGACATATTACAGAGGTTATTCCACCTCATCTTGCACACTTACTTTGAGCCTCTTAGATATGGGAATTCCTTTAACAAACAATTCTCAGCTTCCAACACAACAAGCTGATAAGAGCTATCAAATTTCAATTTAACGTGTTATAACCTTTCCTGGCAGTATGACAGAACATGCTTTGGACCATGGACTTGGGATAAGCACATTGTTCCCTTTTTATCAAAACAGAAAGGTTTTGTCAGGAGACAAGAGTAATTGCAGACAGACATAGATCTTGTCAATTTTGGCAATTGTCTTTGTTGACCACAGCAATTGCCAAGGCGCCCACAGATTTACTATTCTACAAAACTGGGTCCACAGAGAAGAGGAAGGTAACTCAGGAAAGTGCCCACACATGCTACATTATATATAAACAAATAATTTTATATAATCATATACAGTACCTCCACTGGATCTCAGAATTTGCAATGATATAAGTTAGTTCACTTTACAAAGACAAAAGAAAATTTTAATATAGAGCTGGTCTACTCAGGAAAGATTTTTCTTAAAATAGGTTTGGCTTCAGGACATTTGCTTGGATTTCTATTTTGCTGTAGTTAGGCAAATACACTGAACATGCACATTCCCCCAGTTTCAGTTATAAGGTGTGTGCCACTTCTCTTTTAAAATGACAGCATCTCTACTACTGTCTGTTCAGGCCCTCCTGGCCTGAACAAGTACATCTCAGTTCAGACACAGGGCTCAGTGCAGTACATACTATTCACCTCGTAGACTGCTTACTTGTACCCATGTCAAACCTACTGCAAGTGAAAATGCATACCAAGTGGTTTTGGCTTTTTTTTCTTGTTTACACCAGAATATTATTTGCTTTGGTTTTTGTTGCTGTTGCTGATGCACAACACAGCACACCTCCATTGTCAAGCAGTTTCTAAGGACTCCTAAGGTATCTTAGTATTTCAGCTACTCGCGCAAGCCAGTAAACTGCAAATTTTGGAGGTCAAACACATTCTAATTTAATTACTGTGGTATTCCATGGATATTGCCAGAAAATGAAGTAATTTTTTATCTTTCCCCACCTCTACAGCCATTAACCCTAAACCAACTGTTGATTTGGAGAAAAGAATAGCAGTACAAGTTTGTAACTACAGGCTAGAGAAGATCCTGTGAAACATCCTGTGAAATCCATCTAAAAGCATCATGGCACGGATCTGAAACAGTCATAACTTCATATGGATCAGTACTTTTTTTTATACTATGGTAACTTGTTTTCATCCATGTTGGCCTGTAGGTGAAAAACAACTGCCAAGATTATCACAGTGGTGTGCATTTATACTGGCCTTTGGGCCCAGATCAAAGCTTAGCAATGCTAAGGGGCTAGGAAAAGAACCTCGGAGCTCTCGTTAGTTCTCCAAATCAGGTTTCAGTTCACTAGGGTGTTTTTGTAAATAAGATTATGGGGAACATGAGGTATTCCCCACCTGATGAAAGATGATTTTTCTACAAGATTCTAATACCAGGCCTCTTCTGCTCATTAGGAATGAGTATCAAATTGGATAACAAAATTTTTAGGTGAAAAGCTCATTGTTTTATGCATGAAACCACAAAGCTTTTGTTCACCTTAACACATGTGGATCTAAATGGCGATGTAGTACTAAATATAATATTTTAAGACTGCGCCTTTGTTTCCTTGGCTTTTCAGAAGCTTTTCTAGACATTTAAATGTCTTCAGCCCAGGCAGAACGATCAGCGAACATTTAGAAGACAGAAAGGAAAGCAGAGGTGTTTAATCACAGGCTGGAGCCTGCTCTAAGGCAAGGACTGGCAAGCTTCCAAGAATGGTGCACCAGACAGTCCCCCTTTTTTCCTCACATTTAGGAGAGTAAGCAAGTTGAGAAATGTTGTTTTTCAAAGAGCCAAGATGTTGCCAACCTGCTTACCAGCAGTGCTCGGCCTCAAGCAAAGCAGATGCTTTCAGCTCCTATGAAGTTCAACCTGCCTCTGTGCTACCCAAAGCCTGACCATGCACCCCCTTACCACCCACTCCACAAGTTACGTACCCTGCCATAGTATCTGCCTCATGAGTTTGCTGAGTTTTGCCCAACACCAGAACATCTGAGAGAATAGACATTAGTTGAAAAAGACAGCTCTGGAAAGTTTTGGATAGCTAATCTCTCACCTTTTCATGTATCTGTAAGATCCACAGAACTGGGTTCACAGAAATTCTGTGCTCATATTTTACGAGCAAAAACGTAGAAGAAGCTTCATGATAGTGCAATGAATGAAATGAATACAATGTATTATATACAGTTTGCACACTTCAATTTTATTACAAATGGCTATTAGGGAGACCTACACTTGCAGTAATTCTTTTCAGTTAAGTGCAGATTGTAACTGACTGCTTTGGCACAACAGGAGAGTGCAAACTGGAAAAACTAAAATGGGACAAAAGACCTAATGTGGAGGCTGGACACATTTTTCTAAGGAGTTCAGAACTGTGCAAGTGGGACCATATGTGCTCCCTTCTCTTGCGGTGTAACATCTGCAGGGACTGCCTACAGCTGACAGAAGAATGAAAAGCTACAGGACTGGATTGCTTTAGGATGCTACACATGAGCAAAGCGAAACAAAGTTCTCCATGCTTAGCAGCTTTTGCATCATGTCCAGTGGTCTTTTCCTTTATGTCCCTTTCTCTTTCCAACTTCTCCATTTGATCCCTTGACAATTTCTCAGCATATCTCACAGGCCTTTGCTCTTGAGCTTGTCTTGCAACACAAACTCTTCCTTTCTTTGGGCACTTTGCCTGCCGCTGGAATCCCTTCACAAGGCTAAAGATGAAGAAGGATGTTTGCCTTCTCTTTCCTCAGGTTTACCAAACGATTAGTAACATCCCTTCCTCTGCGGGCTGTGCCATGCAAGGTGCTAGGAGAACAGAGAAATCAAAGGAATAATTATTAAATTAGTAAGTGTTAATAAAGCACTAGGTTACTTATATTTTCAATCCCATTGCCCAGCTGTCAAATTTTCAATCCCTTACACTCTCTTAAATTACAAGATAATCTCTTAAATTACAAAGTAAGTTCAAACATCAGACTTTACTCTATACTGGGTTCTTGTTCCATATTGTAGCAATACCCTTTAACAAAACCATGCTCAGGTATATTTTTCTAGAAAAGGCCAGCATATTTTTAAACTAAAAAATTCAGAGAAATTAGTATTTCCACAATAACAAATTTAAAAAGCAGAGAAGTATTATTAAAGAAAGGCAAAATGATAACTGTAGAAAGGTACAGACAGTGCTATACGCTCATACAAAAGCTGCTTCTGGGAAAAAAATGCTACAAACACAGATGCCTGGGGAAAACTGCATGACTAACAAGCATACTACTTATGAACACCAGCTGATAATCATAAACCATTTTCAAAATAAACCAAATTTTGAAGACACAATGTATGCCTTTTTGTTGTCGTTTAACAATGAAGTGCACAGCAAGGCAAAAAAAGCAAAAAGGAGAAAGCTGAAAACCTTTTACAGCTCCTGCAACCACAAATCATCTACACTTAGGAAAAACTCCTTAACTTCAACTGATAAGTATGTTCAAATATTTTTATATACATGAAGTTAAAAACCTTAAGGCATCAACCAGCTTTGGTCTCAGTTTCTCCTTTCCCTTTTTACTTCACAAAAGAGTGAAAAGCCTTCTCATAGTGCATGTCTCAATTAAGATTATCTATCCTGTTCTATCTGCATAAACTGCTAATAAAACATAAATGTGACACAGAAGCAATTAAAAAGTTGGAAAATTTAGCATATCCCAGCATCAGGACAGGGCTATATAGTGCCTTTGGCATCCACATAACACAGCTGGTATGAACAAGCTTCTTCACAGATTAGTTGTAGCATGGTTGCAGTTTCAGCTTTACCATGCTGCTTAGAGAACAGCAGCTGCCTTGTCCACAAACTGCTGTAGCAAAATCCACAGGACATAAAGGCAACATCCACTACCTGGAAAAGGCACTTTAAAATTTACTTGCATCTGCACAAAATACTACAAATAAGAAAAATATCTTTCTTTGTACTTACCAAATGAGGTTTCCTCTGCAGGACTGTCAATCTGTTTTCCTGGGAGGCACTGTATTTGATCTTTCACAAAATAGCCTTGGCTGTCCAGGGAATTTCTCTTCCAGTTAAGAGTCCATAGGTGTCTGCAGCTTCCAGCTGTGTTTCTGCTTTAGTCTAGGCACAATGCTCACTACTCCAAGAGAGCATCTGCCAAGTTCAGTTCATCTCCATGCAGCACACATGTCACAGAAACATTCCTCTGAAGGCTTTTGTATTTGGTGCTCTTAATAAATCTGCATCAGTTTTTTTTTTTACTTTGACGCACATCCTTGAGTTACCAGTTCCTGAAGATTTGTTCAACTATTAAGTGCTGGGTAGTTACAGTGATGTCTTAACTACTGGGAACATAATCTCAATATGATCACTTATCTTTTCACAGAGAGGGTAGAGAATCTTTGTTGGCAATACAGAGGATGGGGGCTGTGGTCAGATTTAGAAAACTAATTTTACAAAACCTGGATCTGCAGATGCTATTGGTATATCCCAACATCTAAATAAGAGGAAGACAGCTTGTCTGAAGGATAGTAAAGCAGTGTGCACGTACAAAAGCAACTAAAGCAGTATCATGAACCTGGAACTGGCATCTGTTTACACTGATCTTATAATGGAGTGGCTTATTCTGAAACAGAGGTATGTCACTTCAAGGCGTATAAACTGTAGTTTGGTAACACAAACTGAAAGAATTTGTGAGGATACAGGTTCAGTTAGTATTAATTTTAAGTATAAAAATCTTTCCAGTTTAGACCAGGAAATCAGTTTAACAGGTAAGACCCCAATTCTACAGACACTTATGCATATGTTTAACTTTGGATCATTACTAATTCATATAATTCATGCAAATGAAATTATTCACTTCTCTGAAGGTAAGCATAGGTATACATGACAAGCCAGATTACAAAAATGGAGAGAGAGTTGCAAAGAAGTATTTTGAGTGTTTCTAAGCATACAGTACTGAAACATTACATCATTAAACAGCAGGAATAAGGTCATACCCAACAGAATCTGAGGGGGGTGCTGAGGGGTATGATCCAGATGCTGGGGTGGTCTCTCCTAAGGAGGGCTCCTCCTGTGGTATGGGGTGATGTTCAAAGAACTTGGAGACAAACAGCAAACTGTGAGGCAAGAACAAAATAAAAACAACCTAACCTTGTGCAAAACCCAGCAGCTTCACAATACACTCAAAGATTAAAACAAACCTTGTCACTGATCATATTCTGTATTTTGAAATGAAGACTATGCTAACACATGGATCTACAAGATTTGTTAATAAAAATATTATTTAATTGACAAAGGATCAAATGATCATGCCTTAAACATACCTTTGTGGAAAGTAATTTTTTAATGTTTTAGTTGAAACTGCAAACATCTGGTTCCTCAAGAATGCACAATTTATAACTGGTTTTTGGAGTACATGAACTTACATTTGCACTGTTGCCAAAAAACAGATGTCAAATGGATAAAACTACCTTATCCACAAGCCCCGAGCATAAATTCTAGAGATGCCAAAACAGGTATAAATAAATACACAGGCAGAATTTAAATTTACTTTTGGGGGAAAACCTAGAATTTGAAATGATTCTTTATATGAAAGTCTAGTTAAAAGACTTCATAGCCTCTGCTGAAACCAATCAAATAGAGCACAAAGCCAGTTTACACCAGATCCTTAACCTACATTAAATTATCAATAATTAAATTCAAGAACACACAACCGTTTGGGATCTAGGCATCAAACTCACTAATGGATTATTTTAAATCACTGTAAAACTAACTGTAATTTTACCATATTAAACTAGTGTTTCTTCACATTTTTTTCCTGTGAAGAGAATAAACCTGCATCTAAACCCACATCTAAACATTTAAACAGGGCTCTAGCCATCACATAATAAAGAACCAGTTTTGATTAAGAACAACAACTGCAAACAATGAGAAGTCTGTCTGATATAGTCAAATGCTCAGCCAGTCCATTCATGCTTCAAAGAAAGCATTTCATAGTCCAGCAAAAAATACAAACTGCTTGTCTGAGTTTGCAAAGAAAGAACATGAATTACGCAGCCTCAACAGAACAATTCAACTCCTGTGTTTTTTTCAAGCACCTCCTCTGACTTCTGAATTATAGACCTAAAACACTGACAGCTGTAAGCTTAATAAGAGACTCAACTTTTAAAATCAGTTGTGATTACTTACTCAAGTTGGTCATAATTAACACACATCAGTGGCACTTCTGTACTACAGCGCTGGTGAAATTTGTAGCCACATGTCTGGCATCGGAATCCCTGGAAAAGCAGCTTTCGACAAAAGTCGCAAAATGCTAACGTGAAGAATGTTTTTCGTACCTATATTGTCAAAAATAATCATAATTAGAGTCCTTTTTAAGCCTATCACATGCTATTTGCTCTTACCTCCCTCTAATACACTTACAAGCCTCTTTACACTGGAGCTACAGTCTAATGTATCAAACAGATTTACATAAAAGGTCTGCCTCTTTTTCAAATAGTCTTCATGCATTAAATTTTTCTTTCAACTATTTATTAGACATAATGCTTCACTTCATTATCAGTGAGAAAATGAGCAACAAATCTGAAACAGAACACTGCACTATTACCATGCTAAAGACAAACATTCAGAATTTAGCTGGATACAACCTATAAAAACAAGAGCTGCTGAAATATTATCTTCTAATTTTTCCAGGAGCCAAATGACATTTCTATCCAATATTCACAGGACTGGAAATATACATGACTTGTATATACGGCTTCTATATATGGTTACATATATAGTTGTAATTTTGATTACTGAAACTTAAAACATTTAAAATCACAAAAGGGTGAACATACATTATCCCCATGTTATAGGGGGGGAATTGATTTAGTTTCATTTTCAAATTTAGCAATACTTGGTATAAAACCACATTCTAGTTGTATTACTACATGTAGGTAAAGAAAATTTCAGAAGGATATCAAAAAAATGTTAAGCCTACTACAGTTTCATCTAACTAGCCATAGCCAAACTAGCTTCTTTGAGTAAAATGGTTTAAGCAGCTTGCAAACACAATCTCTGGTTTTAACTTAAATAAAAGGTCTTTCTTGTCAATGTGACAAACATTATTTCCAGGATTTTGTATGTAGCTGTAATAATTCAGATGGATTCTGTTTAGCAGGTTTCATTTACTTGGTGCCTTATCAGGTCAAAACATATTTGTGCACTAGCATCACTGATGATGTCAGCACTGCTCTGGGAATAGTTAGTTCATTAGTTAATTGCTGCTGCAGAGCCAGCAGGGAGGCCCAGAATACATTTTATAGATACAGCAATACAAAAATAGTAGATTATTATTACAGCTCTGCAATGCAGTGCTGATTTAAAGCCCCTACGTTTATAGATTTTAGAGGGTGTATTCCATCCAAACGTGAAAGTTTTAAGGGTGATGAAGTACTCTAACATCACTTCAGTTACAATTTTATCTAATTCACTTATCGTGATTCAAAACTTCTTTTGCAACTCCTACCACATTCCACAGACACGAAATATTATTCAAAGCTGTTAATTCGAATTTGAAAGTACAAAGTTGATTTAACCCTACTCAACATCTCAAAACCAGTACATACAAAATTGTGTGTTGTGAGTGGCACATTCTCCAAGACTTCCACATGCAACTCCTCCCCTGTGAGCCAGGAAATGTCAGTGTCCCAGCCAATTGGCTTCTTCTCTCTAAAATGTAAATAAGCCTTTTATGTATAATAATCATAATAATATTAATAATAATAATGCCTTTTTTGTTAGCACCAGTGCAGGAGGCCTGCAATGGCCCACAATATGAATTAGGTAAAAGGGTAGAAAGTTGTAGGGGTTTACTACCCAGTCTCTAATGGCAGGAAACTTTAAAAGCAGGACATTAAGCTCAGCATACACTGAAGAAAGCACACCTTCCCTGGACAAACTGCATGAAAGAAATGCAGTTTTTCCAGTCAGCTCCAGTAGTGGCTGATGCCTTGGTTCCGAGGCGACTGGTAACATTCTTGTCAAATAAAGTGCTTGTGAAAACACCTGTTCCACAAGAGTTTCAAAGAGATGGCTAACTTTGAGCATTAAGATAATCTACAAGCTTTTTTAGGGCTGGAAACTACTTTTTTTTCCCCACAGGAACTCTATCTTTAGCTAAGAATGCACTATAACCAAGTCAAATACATTCAAAAAGTTAAGAAAAACAATTTAATGCTTGTTTGGCTAGCATGAGTTTGATTAATAAATCAGCCAGCAGTCTAAACTCATATTACTCTATATCATGCCCATTCTTGAAATTATTCAATCTTTCTTCTAGGAGCCTGCCATTCTTTTTAGATATATCTTCAAGGCACAAGTTGTTTTAGCGCGAGGTATCCTATTATTCTGAACTCTGAAAACAACTTCCACGGTGTTGGATAAAATCAGACATACTGGGTATCTCCAAAAGAGATTCTATGAGCAAAAACCATCACCCACAAACCATACCCATCTTGTATTCTGTAAACAGCACAGCACTCTGGAATAAGACCTCTCATCATCAGAGCTTTCTTTAGGCTGTCTCGGACTGTCACTCCACATCTTGCTGGAACCTAGATGTCAAAGAGAAAAGAAATTAATTAAAACAAGTTCCAATTTATTCCCCCATACTGACACAAACATTTTGACCTCCAAGTGCTAAGCCCCACTTTTCATGATTCTTTACAGAAGGCTAGGCAAGAGTTTTTAAAAATCTTTTTCTACTGTGGACAGTTTTATTGGCGAATAGTATATAAGCAATTTAGCTCAGCTAGAAAGAAAACAAGCTTTACATTTCCACTAACATCTAGCATGAAATCTTGATCCAACTCCAAAAGTGACTTTCCAACTCTTCTCAACTTGAAGAAAGTGGAGACACAGCATGCAGATAGCTAACAGCTACATACTTCTATAAATGTTCAGGCCAAGCTGTAAAATTAAGCGAGGAAACATGCCAAGGAATTAAAATGAAAGAACTAACTTGGACTGCACTCAAAAAAACATTAGGATAAAATGTAAACATTTTATTTTATATTTCTAAAAGAGAAGATAAGCATGCAAACAAGTAAAACAATCATCTGAGTCAGGCAGACCATCACCTCTCACTTTAACTTATATTTGCAACTCCACAGACACTTCCTGTTGGGGAAACATATTCCTTTCTTCTGTTTCATTGTTTGAAAAGTTTAAACATCTAGCAACATGGGAAGAATGGAGAAGCACACTGAAACCAGCCAAAGAACTGCAGAGTTTGAAAAGTAAAGGTATTTTCCTTGCCTTTATTATACCTGTAGGCATATCTTATAGGAATAAATGTATCATTCTCTAGGTATATCTGTGACTTAACAGTGTATAGCATCAAGCCATAAAACCAGAACAATACATAATCTGGTGATTAAGTGTAGTTAAGGTGTTATTACCCACTTACTATTTCTAGAACCCAAGAGTGAAAATACATAATGCTTTAGGTGGTATACACACTGGGACATCTGCTGTAATCATGGACAGCACCTCAAACATGAATCAAAACAAAATCCCACAGACTTAATTAACCAAAAAAGTCTGTCTGAACATCTGAGACTTTATTCTAGCTTTTTAGTGGCCTAAACCAGAGCCCTTGGTGGCCAAAAGCAGTCTCTTAATCAGCTTCAACTGGCTTTGGATTGGAGCCTAGTTTTTGCTCCTTGCACTTCATTTTCCATGGGTATTTAGGGGCCCTATGTCCTACTTAAGGGTGACAGTGAGAAGTAGCATTCTATTTCAAGCAGCTTTGTGAACACCACTTGAGGTTACGCTATATATTGCATTTCTAGAACTCCAACGTATACTCTTCTGAGAAGAGACAAATTAAAGGATTATTTTGCTTCACAATATTGTTCCTATTAATAGGAAAGCACTTCTTACAGGATATTTGTGCATTTCATCTGGTCAACACATAAACATCTAGAAAACAGAATTGCTACTAATTCTAAACTTCCTATAGCATACTGCTTTACAGTCTACATATTGAGCCTTAAGTGACTTTGTTTTAACCACGCCATTACTTCTTACTGCATCTTTTCATTAACATAAGTAACTTCTTCCCATCCTAAAAGTTAACGCTGTGGCTTTCACTCACTTGTAGGTCATTCCTCCAGCATAAAACATCCTTAACTGTCATTAATATCTGTCACTAGTTTTAAGAGGGAGGCTGGGTGCATCTATTATTTTCAGTGTCATCAACAACTTTCCATTGTAAAACTCAGTCCTCTGTTAAGTCTCTACCAAACTAGGTTGGCTCACACTGAAAACAACTCTTCATAGGGTCTTTCTGTGACTGGTACCTGCTGCTCCCGACCCCTGGCAATGCAGTTAGCATAACCAGCATCACTTTATGAGGCAAGCGGCCATTCTCTGTGACCGAGTGGGTCGTGTATTTATTCTCTTTCCCCTCATTAGCAGGACCTAAAAGTCTTGTGAACCAAACAGACATACCAAACAGATTTCTTCTTTCCCTCCCTTAGCCTCAAGGTTCCTGGATGCCAGGCTGACTATTCCATCCCTTGCTGCCCTTGAAAAGTTCCAGGAACCCAGGGCCACCAGGTGGTAGCGGTGGCCCTGCCACAGAACAGGGAAGCTTAACAGCACCCAGAGCACTGTCTATAAAACTGAGCAGGTATCAGTCATAAGACAGGAATTTGGACCGAACCTGCTCCTGGACAGTGAGACTCAGGACCAGGCAGTGCCAGGGATGCCTCCATCATCCTCTCCTTCCTCTGAGGATTAAGGGAACAACTCATTATACGACTGTTACATTGATACAGCAAATCATGTAGTAAAGATCTGGCTCGATCTGCAGTTGGTCCAGCTGATTAGAAATTATAAGTTATAATATAAATTCTGTATTACTCCACTTATAAATTGTATAACACCAATTCTGATTGGCAGAAGTTCTGTGCTATACTAATCACAATATCCTGTTAAGAAAATAAAGCTTTAATTGTAACTACAACTTACTGCCATCATCATTCTGCCAAGGATCCCTAAGAGAACCTGGTGTCCCCTCCGTGTCAGGTGACAAGTTCTCCCTGCCTCCAACATACATAGTTACAAATAGAGAAAATATTTAAGAATTTTAGTAAAATCTCTGGGGACTTCAGAGTTGTGCTCCAACCTCCCACACACATCAGGTCCAATGAGCGATTTCGATCGAGCAAACAAGTGTTCTTTGGCTCAAGGCTATTTTTCCTTCAAGTACAGCTCCTGCTGGATTGAGGTAAGAGCCCCCACAGACATTTCAGGTCTACCTTTCCAGCAACATCAGTTACTTCACCACTGATATCCACAAAGAAAAAATTCAGATACTGGAAGGATAACAGACAGACCTTGGAGGGGCAGGCAAATGAAAAGAGCCAGGAAAACAGCTGAGCACGACAGAGAAATGGGAGGAAAGAAGCAGGACAAACTTAAGTACTGACCAGGGAATGCAAGTGTATATTGGAAGAGGGCATCACCATAAGCAGGTTGGTGGGGAAAAAAAGCAAGCAGGACAGAGGGAATACAGACTGAAGAGGAAAATGAGGCAGAGGGCAGGAAGCAACAATACAATGACTCCCTATCACACACGGGGAGCTGGGGAAGCAATCACATTCTGAATATGAAGTTTTCATGCTGTGATTAGGAGAAAAGATTGCTCTTTTTGGATAAGAAGCCCCACAGGGAAGGGAGTGCCTATGGGAAGTGCTAGAACTGAGCACAGAGGGGAGAGAAAACTTCAAGACGGTAAGGACTAAAAGAAACCAGGGTATTAAAATCTAGACTTGGGTGAGGGAATGGAACAGGACAAGGAGGAAAAGCCAAGCAGTGAATGATGACTAACATTAAACAAGAGATGAAGAGAAAAAGAGAAGGAGCCTTGTGCTCACTGGAAGGTATTTTCTTCCTCCAGCACTGCTCCTCAACAAAGAGCGACAACACCCTCCAGTACCTCACAAAGCAAAGATCTGCATCAGGAGCCTAGAAGTTCCAGCTTTACTAATGAATCACATTGGTTCATGATGGTTTAAATAATGCCTCTTCAGCTGATTTTTTTTCTTTTAATTTTGCTGAAAATGAAAAAGATTTGTGAACTTATAGGCTTCCATCTATGAGATTAATAAAATCAGCTCTCAAAACTTGGAAAGTATCAGTGAAGGTTGCCTACAGCAATGCAAGTGCAACAGGACTATGAAAAACATGCATTAAGCATCTTGCTCACTTATAATTTGCCATTTCTCAGTATCACTTCTCCAAGTCCCCTTAATTAAAGTCTGAGCCATATTTATGCAACTTGCAATAGAAACATAGATAGAACATTTATTCTCTTCATTGCCATTTGCAACAAGACCCCCCCCAAAAAACAACCCCCAAAAAACAGTTAGGGAACTGTTTTGATTACTTCCAAAAATCACCAGGACCCTGAATCAGCATCACATTTAGAACGTTTTCTTACAGAACTCCTGAGCAGAGAAACATAAGGCTAAATTAAAAGAACTAAATACTAGAATAAATCCCTGTAGTACTGATTAATCATTTTCTCAGACTGGTACAGTACGGTCTATCACCATCTGTGCATGCAGTCCCTCCAGCACCCTCCTTCAGACCCTATCAGCACCTGATACAAAGCAGAAATCCCACCCTGCAAAGCATTCCCTCTAAAAACCTCTCTTTTCCCCCACCTCATGCTCTTCTCACACACAAATCATGGCAAAGCTAACAAAAAAATCCTGCTCTGGCAAACTGATTTGGAAAGCAACTCAATCTTAAGAAAGAAAACAAAACAAAGAACAAGTTTTTTTTTTTTCCCTGCTAGCAGACAGCCTCCCTGAAGCAGGATTTTCAGGACAGCCTCCTACTCATCCCAGCTGGAGGGAGGGCCCTGCAGCATGGGGAGCAGGAACCACAGCACAGTGCAGTCCCCTATCCTGCTGAGTCCCTGGATGTGTGCCAGGAGCCAACAGCTCCAGCACAGCGGGCAGGCGAGCACCAAACTGGGTTTATCAATTCCACCAAAAGCATTGACAGGATTCCCTCAGAACATTTTAACCAAAACACATCAGCATTTTTGACAGAGTCAGTTCCTCTTGAGATCAAATCAGCAGTCCTGTGTTCAGCCCTAGGGCCCCCAACGTAACAAGGACATGGACCTCCTCAAGCAAGTCTAGAGAAGTCCACGAAGATATTTAGAGGACTGGAGCACCTCTGCTATGGAGACAGGCTGAGAAAGTTGGGTTTGTTCAGCCTGGAGAAGAGAAGGCTCAGTGGAGACCTTCGAGCAGCTTCCAGTACCTAAAAGGGGCCTACAAGATATCTGGAAAGGGACTTTTTACAAGGACATATAGTGACAGGACAAGGGGGAATGGCTTTAAACTGGAAGAGGGGAGATTCAAATTGGATTTTAGGAAGAAGTCTTCCCTCTGAGGGTGGTAAGGCCCTGGCACAGGTTGCCCAAGGAAGCTGTGGCTGCCCCACCCCTGGCAGTGTTCAAGGCCAGGCTGGATGGGGATTGGAGCAACCTGATTTAGGTGTCCCTGTTTGTGGCAGGGGGCTGGAACTG